GAGATTGCTTGAAACATGCTTAACGAGCCAAACCGAAGAGCGAAGCATTCCCAGCATGTTCTTTTTGTTTCGGAGGTGCCCCGGATTGAGGCAAACAAAAGAATGCCCAAGGGGAGCTTCCGAAAGAAACATGTTTTTCCAGTCCAGATGAGTGGGGGTTAGGGTGGGGAGGAAGTGTCACATGCTTCTTGCACAGATTCCAACTCAAAAGTCGACGGATCTGTCTCACTCAAAGCCCAACGTCCCCCCCCCCCTCCCCAGCCTCCTCGTTGTCTTCCGGATCCAATTCCACAGCCTGCGCACACGTCCGCTCCAGAAGGAAAGTATCAGGAAGACCCGCTCCCTGTATATACCAACCAACGATGGTTTCCCATGGTTTACATTTGGCTAGCCTTTTAGAAGACGTAGAGCTGACGCTCATTGATCTCACTACTTCTTCCAGCAATGTTGTGCAGGATTTCGTCCATCCACAGCATTTGGAGACACACACACACACATGTTTGGAATCACTCAGCTCATGGTTGAGCAAAGGCCCGGATGGGTTATTTTATCCTACCAACATGGTCCTAAAATGGAAGCCTCTAAAGAGGAAGGTAGTCTTCCTTGAAGAGGATTTGTGCACTTGCGTGCATCTTGGTATATACCCTTCCGAAGCGTCAAACTGGGAACCTGACAACCACAAGAAGCTCGACTTAAATTATGTAAAAATACAGTTGGAACTGAAGGACCCCCTATTGTGGATGTCTCAATCAAAGTTCAAATAACCTGCTCACATCGCCACGCAGATTCTGATTGGGGTTTATCCTTGGTGAGGTGATGCTTAGGGAAGCCCCCAGCATGCCCCCAAAATGGGATAGCTCAAACAACATGCCCAAAACATTCCACCCCTCCCCTCCCCAACCCCCCCCCAACAAAAACAAAAACAACGGCTGATTGACCTGGGCTGCCCTCAGATCCCCCGCTAAAAGCTTAACTTTTAGCGGAAAAAATGGAAATCCCCACTAAACACTAAAAAGCTAAAGGGAATGGCTGGGAACCACTGAGTTACATGAATCAGACACCCGCCCAGTTTTTTTCCCCCGAATCAGAGCTACGGTAAACGGTTGCAATCCGCACTTTCAAGTCTGAGTGAGCCGCGCCCAAACCTGACTATGATGGGGTAACATGGGTTACAAAGGCTTAGGCCTTCCCAGTGAATCCCAGCTACCCATATCTTTGAAGGAATGACAACATGTCAAGCCGGACAAACTTGTGTGAGAGTTTAGTAAATGCCTCGCAATAAAATCAAAACCAAATGAACCAGGTAGGGTTCCGAACCACTTGCTATCGGAATCGGTTTTGGCCACTGCCCATCAAACTTGAAGCACAACATGCGGGCTGTGAATTTCAATGGGGGACCCGCAATGGTTGACATCATTTAGGTGGGATTTCGGGTATGGTTCAAAATGAAGCAGTTAGGGCAAAGCGCAGGTTTTCGTCTATTTGTTTCCATTTAACAAAGTTTTTGAGCAATGTCCACCTTGGGGGTGGTTCCCTTCTGTGGATGGTCAAAATCTTGCAACAGCTGGTAGGTGGTTCAGAGTTTTGTTCATCCCAACTGGCCAACTGGTGCGAAGTCGTTGCTTTTTCCACGGTATTTTCATTATTGATAAACCATCCTACTAATAGCCCCCCCAAACGTGATGATTCCCCACTAAACCAGGGACACCCATTCATAGAAACTGGGGCTGATTGATCCCAAGTTCCCTAGAGCAACTCAACTGGGTCCTCCAGAAGTTAGAACAAGGGTACCCTTTTTTCTGTAGTCTATTGTAGTAGGGGAGCCCTCCCCCAAAAAAGGGTAAAAGGGCACTACTGGGGGACCTAGTCAAGCCACTTGTCGCACCTCCAAGTCTTCCACCAGCTCTGCAGTTCCGCCCTCTGCTTCCTCCTCCGGCGCCTCGCGATCGCTGAAAATCCCACGCACCATGCAGGGCACACAGGCTTGCGAAAGCTATGACGCTATGTCGCAAGCTATGTCGCAAGCTATGTCGCAAGCTATGTCGCAAGCTATGTCGCAAGCTATGTCGCAAGCTATGTCGCAAGCTATGTCGGCAGTTGGCGCAGCTGGGGAAGCACCACGGCTCGGTCGGTTTCTTCGGGCTGCCGAGCCCTTGGCTTGTCCCTGGAGAAAAAAACGGAAAACCGTGTCCAGAACCGATTCTGAAAACCAGAGTAATGAAACACGATAAAAGAAGTCCAGGGGTGTTGTTTTTTTCTTTTTCTTTTATTTAAACTCGACTGACAAAAAAGAAAGGCAGGAGTCCGTACGGCCCCTTACGAATACGGCTCCTTTTGGTTGAGTCTGCCGGCATGAACAAACAAAAAATCTAGTAGCCATAGATTCCCTTTTATCGAGCAGGCGAAAGTAAACAACTTTTAAAGCGAATGGAAGGTTAAGTCAACAAGCAAACCTCTTCTCGATGTCATCAATTAGTTGTGCCATGTACTTCCATTTGCTTCCACTTGCTTAAGTCCCCCGGACAAGACAAACATATCAGCTAGCGATAGATTCCCTGTAAAACCAGCAGGGGAAAGAGAGCCAAAGTCAACAAACAAACCTCCAACCAATTTCAATTGATTCAGCCCTTTAAGTCAACAAGACTAGCGGAAAGACACACTTCCATTTGCTTAAGCCCCCTGGCAAAAACAATAAACTAAACATATTTCCAGTAGACATAGATTCCCTTTAAAACCAAGAGGGGAAATAAACAAATATTCTTAAGCAAATGGAAGCACGGATGGGCACTTCCGACATCCACGGTGGATGCCTTCGTTCGATTCGCGCCTGGATGGAGAGAGCAGCTTCCCAGCTAGGAGGAAGCCTCAAGGGCTCGGCTCCGGCAGATGGCCGAACCAGAACCGCTGTGCTTTTGTCTTTGTGGATTCTTTGTGGTGTCTCCTTACAACAACCTGGGAAAAGCCCTTCAAATCACACACACACACACACGGGAACAAGGCAACCGATGATCGAATCTAGCTGCACATGGGCCCTGGGTGGTTTTTCGTATACGCGCAATATGACAGGAACCGCCATCCACCCGTGGCATCCCCTTGCTGCGAGCAAAAAACCGAAAGGAAATCGAAGCGCTTGCAAAAGGGCGAGGTATCCAAGGGAATCTGAGGATCCGCCAAAAGCTGACTCTAAGGCTAATTACAAAGGTATTGCCAGGTATGTAACTCAGTTGCCCAGCGGGCCTGGAAATAAAGACTAACCTTTTGGAACCTTGACTGAATATGTACCAAATTAGGGAAACCAAAAGGTCAAAGGGTCGATTTGCCTTGAAACCAGGAATCAAAAAGCTCGATTTGCCTTGGGCCAGTCAATAAATCAGGAGCGGTCCCTGTGGTACCTGGGGCGAGCAACTAACTGTTACCCAATACCACCGCCTTAAATCAGGAATCCAAAAACTCTCCGCCAGCCCGTGATTCTCGGAATCCCTGTATAGGACATGCAGATTCTTTCCGGGAGAACCTCTAAGTCGATAGCCACAAAAAGCGGCTCCGGAGCGGCTCCGATTTCTTTTCCGTTGGGTGCCCGCGATTCTGCTCCCCATCCAAATTGGCTTTGCAACAATCACGAACATATGTTTTATGTGTGTTTCTCTGTTGTTGTTTGTTGAAATATGCGCTTCAAAGGGATTGCCCCGCTAGCAAATTCAAGTTGCAAAATGGCTGGCTTAAAACATGGCACCCACAATGGCGCCTCTGCATAGGGAAACAAAAACTGAAACCATCATAACTAGGTCCTGCAGTAGAGAGGTTAGAATAAGGGCCCCCTTTTTTCTGCAGTCTATTTTAGTAGGGTCCCGAACCCTCCCTTCCAAAAAAGAAACGGTACAAGTTGGCATTCGCTGGGGTCAGTTTGAGGCACACCAGGCCATCGCGGTCCTCGAAGCGCGAAGCGCGGCTCCACTTTTTGTTTCGCGGGTCCATTGCCCCGGAAATGGACGCGACTGCGAGCGAGGGGCCGGGGAGCTGTGCCATCCTAAAGGGGTGGCTCGTATGATACCTCGGTGGCGAAATCTGCTCTGCTAAAAGTGAATAACTGTTAGTGGTAAAAAAAAAGGAAAGCCCAAATTAGTTGGCAAAGAAAGTTTAAAGTCCAAACATCCCTTGGCAAAAAACAACAACGCCAAAGATACGTCAGGTGAGTTCTTTTGGCAAGCCTGATGAAAAAACACAGGAAGGGAGACGAAAACCATGGCTTTGTGGGTTACCAGGCGTACGAACCACTTACTCAGTACTCTGGCCCTAAGTGGGCGAATTACTACTTGGATGCTGGGATGTTTGATTCCCCAAGTTAGTAAGAACAGGCCACCTTAGTGGCGCCTATTACAGGGTTACCCAAGTATGCTTCACAAACGGGTGCTTCCTGAAATAGGATTTGGTCCCCTCAAGTCTTTAGTTTTCTTTTGGCTTCCCTTGCAATACCGATCAAAACGAGGACCCACACCCAAGCTGGAAAACGGGATTCCTGGAATCCCTTTGTACTTTCGGTAAGCCTCCTCCGTGTGACACGGTCAGCTATCCCGGGATCCCCCAAGTAAGGAGAGCTCGTTAGAACTTAGCCAGGGCCACCTCAGCCTTTGCCAAGTCAAAAAGAAGATCTTTAGATTCGCGGCACCTGATTTTCCATTGGGGATCTCCACCAATCTCGCGTCAGGGGGTCCTACTTGAAAAACAACATAGCCATAAGGCCTTGAGTCAGGATATTGCTGATTTTTCCCGCAAAATGGACACCAACATTAAAGCATGTGCTTGGCCTTCAGCGCTGCCCCCGCTTCTGGAACAAGCCCCAGGACCGCCCAGCACCTTTACCCGCGTTCCTTCGAAGTCGGATGCTTAAACACCCCAGGGGTCAAGAAAATTGCAAAAATCACCTTCAACCCATTTTTTGTCAAGAAAATTGCGAAATCACCTTCAACCCATTTCTTGGCGAACGGGGTCTTTGACCCCTGTCGGGTAAGGTCTACAACCAGCGCTCTGCTCACATTGGGCGGACCGGGTTTGGACTTCGGCATGCTTTCCGCTGCGGAAGCGCCGTCAATTTGGCCCTGCCATCGTTTCCAAACGGTCATGTTGTCCTGGTCCCCGTCAACCGGAATCCTACCGGTTCGAGAGTAGCTACTTTTGCCACCATGTCTGAAAAACAGAAAAGGGGGGATTTCATGTATTTCACTACCATGCAACTAAGTTGGCCCGCAGGGGACTGCATATAGATTTGCATGCATGTCTCAAGCGTCACAAGAGATTGCACCATGGTTGCCACTAGAGCGGCCTGAATCAGTACAATGGGGTTGTGGCGTACTTGGAAACCAGATTTAGTCAAGTTTATAGAAGTAAGGTTTTTTTAGATTGTCTCATGGTCCCCAAAATGGATTTCGGTGAGCTGTTTGGTTTCACTTTAAACAAAAAACACAACCAACATGTTGCCCCACAAAAACAACGCGCACACACACACACATGTGGCATGAGTCAGCATGAGTTCCAAAGGACGCCGCAGAAAATCCGGACTCCCGGACTCCCGGCAGAGAAAATCAGCCCCATGCGCCCCATGGCCTGGGGGAAAACACATTTTGCCCATCCCCTTTTGGCCTCCCAGTCGTGAAGAAGCCAAACGCGAGACTCGATGTACCCCACGTATGCGTAGTGGGAAATTTTCGACCGCCCAAACCCACGAGGCTTCTTCGAAGCTCTAAGGAGCGAGGCAAGCCGGACTCATTTGGCCTCGTCGGCAACTCGGATCACCACCTTGCCTGAGCCGACAAAACCAAGGGATTGAACAGGGTTGCTGTTGACCCCCCTGCAAAAAGTTTAACTTTTTGGGGTTGAATGGAAAGCCCCTTGATTTCTCAAAAGTTCAAGTCTAACGATCCAACCCAATAGCAGTTAAGTGAACAGGCTTTGCCTCAAAATAGGGGAGCCCCCTACTTCAACCCCTGGGTTTCCCTTCAAAAACCACCCAAAACAGGCACCTCCGACAGACCGCAACATGGGCAGAGCTAAAGCTTTGGCCGGGCAGCTGCGGCTGTGACAATTGCCATGCAAGCAAAACGGGTAGTTTTAGTGGGGTTCATCACTGTATCATTTTTCTTTAAAAAAAGGGTGTATTCATCCGGGGTCAACATTAAACAGTGTCTTCGACCCTAAACAAACAATGCGTTGAATAAGAGCAAGGGGGAGCCCCCCCAAAAAAAAAGATGATTTAACGAGCGGTTGGCCCAACCCGGCCTCCTTCTTCTTTCCGGTGGGGAAGGTCATAACTTGTTTAGGGTATTGGGACTAGTGTGGTAGGGGACACGCTTGTGCTTCCCCAAAAGACCCAGTAACTGGGGACGGCCATAGGAAAAGGCTACCTGGATCTTCGGCCAAGTAAGTTGTTAGGAACCGAATTAAGCCATGGTGTTTAACCTTGTTAGCGCGCAATAGCCCAGCTGGCCAACCACTAACTTGGCAAAGAACATCTGTCCATTGGAGAGGGGGTTTGGTCACCAGGGCTGGGAGCTTAAAAAATCATGTTGGAATCATGCGTCTGGCAGCCAGTGCTCAGTTGAAACATGCTGAAGCCACACTGCACAAATTAGGTCAATCCAGGGCCAGGATTCTGCTCTGGCCCTGGCCGAATGTGACTGCGGGCCCCACACGTAAACTGGCAAAACCAGAGTTCCGTAACGTGGGCCACCTCTCAGCCAGAAAGAGCAACCCCTGACAAACCCTCGCGCGCTCCTTCTGCGGGCTTTCACAACCAAACACGGCTGCCGTTGCAAAAATTGGGAGAGCAACCGTGCAACCAACAGTTCTTTCTCTTTCCTTCCTTTGCTTGTAAGGTTGATCGGTTGCTCTCCCACTTTTCAATGTAAAGCTCCCAAATTCGTAAAAAGAAGCAAGCCCCCCAGTTCTGGCGCGAAGCAGCCGGCTAACTGCACTGCGCTCTGTTGCTCCCCCTGTTACACTTGCAACACAACACCCAAACAAACATTTCAAGAACAGTTGCCCTTCCCCTTGCTCCCACCCTTCCCCCTGCCCCTACCAAACAAAAATGGAGCCAAACACGCGCAGGCAAGAGCCAGCCCAGCACAACATTGCTTGTGGGGGGGTTGGGGGGGTAGCACGGGCAAACGAATCCCTAGCCCCAAAGCAGGAGTCGTCCTCAAAGCAAACTGGTTTGCATCTGGCACCTGCGCCGGCGCCACCAAAGCAAAGCTGACGCGCCCAACCCTTGCTGGCGCGAAGCACCAAGTTTTTGGAAGCCCTCAAGCGGCTGCGGCTGGTTGCAGCTGAGGCCCTGGCCTGCCAGCCCGCCAAGCCAGCCCAAAGCCAAGGTGGGAAGCACAACACTTTGGGCCTGCCGCCCCCAAGGTCGGGTCAACAAAAATAGCCTTGCCCTTCTGCCTTCGCTTCTTTGCGTTGCTGCCGAAGGCGCGGCAGCTTCTCATTCAAGGTCTGTCAGGGACAATGCAAACGTGCGTCAAGGTTTGTCACACAAAGAGGTTCAAAATTCAAAACACAACCATGCCGGAAGGATGTCACAGGAAGACCCTGACAGTCGTTTTCTCAAGTCATGCCACAAATAAACACCCATCCACACAATGTTTTAAGCATGACCGCCCAAGGCCCTCACAGTGCCACACTGCAAGGCCACCTGGGCCCTGCCTTTCACAGGAAGCCAATCCAACCGACGCAGCCGATCTTTAGGATAGCGGTTGCATTTCTTGCGAAGCCAGGCACTCTGAGGGAATAGAAGGCAAGCCAACTGGGAATAGAAGTCAGTCTTGGCGGCAGTCTTGGCGGAGCGGAGCAAGCCCAACCTTGAGAAGATAGATCTCCAAGGCTTGCTACTGAGACACGCGGCGCAAGCTTCAAAAAGAACACGCACGGCCGCAGCGCGACCTACGGCGCTGGCTCAGCAACAAAGCGCTTATACCCAGCAAACGCCCCCACATCTAGAGGCTGCAGGACCGCTGTCAATTGCGGCGGAACCAAGCACATGAAAAGCCCCAACTTGCCGGCGATAGATGTGAGAAGAGGCCGCATCTAACCCTGGTCAAGCTGCAAGTTCATCAGCCAATGTGTCGAGGACCAAGCACAGTGCAGCTGTGCTCCAGCCAGCCGCTGGCGCCCCTAGTAACTTGGACTGACGCAGGCTTGTGAGGAAGCACTTCACGCAGAAGAGATTGGGTCAGAACCTTAGTGCTGCTGATAATGAACTGAGGTAAACGCGGCTGCACATCTGTCCGGTCACAGTGCGTCACGGCAGCGCCAAGCGCGGCAACGCAATTTCCTCGCCTGTCCTGCATGGCCAGAGTAACGCTGGTTTCGTCCAAGTTGACCAAAAGCGCTCGTTTTCCTTCTAGCACACGACCGTGCAGCCATTGCACCCACTGCAGGAACAAAAGCACCTGCGCCAGACAAGACCGTCCAAAACCTATAGAAGCCCATGAGTAGAATGCTGGCGTGTGAGAGTGAGATGCTGCAATGGTGGACATGCTGCAATCCTGCCATTTGTGATCCAATAGTTGTACGGACCTTGACTAACAGCCAACTGTTGAGGGGTGTGCCCCAGTGTCAGTCACCGAGCTGAAAATCAGAAGCAAGGGATCTTGGCCATCAATGTCCAGGCCCCAACTGTGACTTTAGTGAGGCCCATTTTGAAGAGTCTGACTTTGTACCAAACGCTACACGCAAACGCTACACAGAAACGCTGACACACAGAGATATGTATATATATATACACACATATCGACACACGTTGACTTGCTTATTTGCACTGTTGAGTGGGGTGAAATGATCACAACCGGGTCAGTCAGGCAGTTTGGGCTCAACGTGAGCTGGCTCAAGATAAGTCAGCTGAGGTGACTGGCATGCGGAAGCAAATGGCTTCGCGTCACACGCAGATACATTTGCAGCAGTCACCATTCCAACACCCGCTCACACCGGTCTTTGTTGACCTCCACTTGCCCTTGCGGTGCATTATGAGGGGCCCCAACACACTCAGGGCGGTTGAGCGCGTCAAACAAACTCAGCCTGTCCTTTAGCCCCACATCTTGCTTTGCCCCTACTAGCAGGGACAGTTAGTGAGGAAAGAGTGGAACCCAGATTTCCATGAGAACTTCAGGACCTTAACTCCCAGCATGGTCCCTTGATTGAGGCTGTGGCTTGACACTACCCTATGTCCGTTCCAAACAATGCAACATGAAAGATGAAAATGAACATGCGCAAATGTGGTTTGTGGCAAACACTTAACAAGCCGTCCGAGAGAGCAGTCCTGCGAGCTCAGCTGCTGGCCCCTTGGCCCCTGCCCACAGTGAACATCAAAAAATGGGGCATTGGAAAATGAGGTTCACGCCGAGTCCTCCATCAATCCCTGAACAGGCCCCCCAATATGGTGCAGCCGACAACCCTCAACCCTAAACAAGCCCAAAAGTTTCAACACCAAGCAGGCCAGTACACACACATACATACATACATACATACATACATACATACATACATACATACATACATACATACATACATACATACATACATACATACATACATACATACATACATACACACATACACACATACATTAAGTACATACATACAGACACACATACATACATGCACACACACACACACACGTGCAGACATCATACACACACAACCACACATGTACGAATACACACATGACAGTACATTACATCACATTACAGCACATTACATTACATGACGATGCATTACATTACATTACATTTCGTTACATTACATTTGGTTGCATTACATCACAGTACATCATTGCACTGCATTACATGGCATCACACACCTACATACCATACATGCATACACACACATACAGACATACATACATATATTCATTCATTCGCTCATGCGTTCATACATACATATATACATACATACATGCATGCATGCACACACTGCAGACATACCTACGTTACATACCTTAGTATGGACAGTGTGTCAGTGCATGTGTGGGATGACAGTCAGTCAAAACACGGAGGTCAAATATCCCTTAGCCACCACCCTGCCCCACCTTGCCTGATAGAGCACGCCCACCATGCGCAAACAGAGGGGTCCTGCGCTTATTCAGCGGGGTTCTATTAAAGAAGGGTCCTACACCTTTCGGCGCTTACCACCTTTCGGCGGGGCCCTAGTTTTTAAGCCCTGCCTCTACCTTCCAGCAGCCAGCAACAGTCCTTAGTGGGTGCCTGACAGGTCCTTGGTGCCCATTGAGCCGGCCCAAACATTGGCCCCTCTCCAAGCAACCCTACAATACAAAAGTGCACCGTCGCACACACAGACACACAGGACCTGTGCAACGAATATTGAGTGAAATCACGCTGAAACCAAAACTGAGCAACCTTACCAACACTACTTGTGCCACTAAATAGTTCTCATATCGTCATAATATGCTTAGAACTATCTATTAGATACGTGTTTTGCGGAATCAAGCCTGTAAGGCAATGTGAATGGAAAGCACCAATGTAAAACCTGTTATTTGCATAGTTTGATAGACTCTGATTTGATGAGACCTACTCTCCTGGTTCTGATGAAGTTGTAGGTGATTTGGTGTGTTGTGCTAGTTTTGATGTTATTTCCTCAGATGAAGTAATGTCGAACTGAGAGTGGCCAACACCCAAGTAGTGCATGACATTACTCTTTCTGGGAAGAAGGGATTTATTGAACTTTAAGAAGGTGCAACATTGCATCCGTTTTGTGTGTGCGTCCCTTCCCACACTCCCCCCCCACTCTTGCACACCTTGATGAACAAGCAGCTCCATTAATTAAAAAAGAAGGCGGGGGCTCTAGATTGTTTAAGGATTATCAAGTAAGCGTTGCCTTGGATGAAGTGCCGGAACCTTAGTCTGAACCTCAGTCTCAGGGCCTCAGCCAAAACTGGGGGCAAGGGGGCCAGTGACAGAGTTGCAACTGCAATGGGAGCAACATGAGACTACCTTCCCTGCCAGGAGAGCCCACGTGGCCTTAGGAAGACCTTTCGGCTACACCATTGGGAGCTCTTAACACATGCATGCTGTTTCCACTAACTTGTTTGCTAGGCTGAAATCCAGCCCACTACCTAACACGAAGCTTACATGTCAATAGGCCAAGGCCAGGGCCAGGATTCAGCCTTGTGGCAAAAGTCATTTGCATGTTTGTCATGCATGTCTTCGCGCATGTCAGCCATGCAACAGCACATACTTTGGGCAAAGTAACTTCTGCTCTGAAGATTGAACTTGCACAACATTGCAATAGGCTTTGTGGCCAGGGCCAGAGCAGAATCCTGGCCCTGGATTGACCTAATGTGTGCAGTGTGGCTTCAGCATGTTTCAACTGAGCACTGGCTGCTAGCCTCATGATTCCAACATCATTGTTTTGGTCAGTGTTGGGTTGCCCAAGTGGCCAAACTCTATTGCAACCCCAAGTCTCCAGCCCTGACGACCAAAGCCCCCTCACTAATGGATAGATGTTCAAGTAGCCTTGGACCTTCACAATGGATCCACACTCGGCCAAGAAGGTCAAAAGCACGACTTGTTGGGAAATTGTGTCGTCCCCAGCCCGGACGCCCTGAGCCCAAACGCACCAACACATGGAAAACGTACGCTTTTCATGCTTCGAGCGTTGTCCCAAAAACCGAGCTGATCGGTCCTCCAAGATGGCCGGTCGCCGAATGGAGCGCGCAGAAATTCAAGTGCAATCCGCAATATCCGCAAACGAGCGCAAGTCAAACAAACCTAGCAATTGCTCGCCTTCCTCCGGATGGAACAAGGGGAATTGATTGGGCGTTTTTGTTGGGCGTCGAGCGTTTCTTGGGGGGTCGAGCAGAAAGCAGTCATTCGAGCGTTTTGCCGCGTTGGGCGCTTCAGGCTTACACATGTTTCTCCTTCAATTGCTATCATCCCTTTAAAGGCGCCCCGAATTTTCCACCTGAATCCCGACCATTTCTCTTTGCCTTGCACACGAACGTTCGAAGCCACGGATCCGCTCCGTCCGGCGAAAAAGAAGCGACACCGAACTCTTCCGCGAGGCGGCCGTGGGCGTGCTTGCCCTTCTGGATTTGGAAGGCTTTCTTCACCGACTCCGCGTCGAAGCTGTGGACGGAGTCCAGTACAGGCTTCAGCTCCTAAGCCAAATGCCGACTCATCGTATCACACACCAAACGCGACCGTCGCTTTTTGTCCCAGAATAAGTAAAAAGACTGGGAGGGGAATCAACCCCTAGCATTTTGGAGGATACTTGTTGTTCAGGGTTAGAACCCGGCTTCAGCTCCTAACGAAACGCCAAAAACGTGTTAGAGGCGGGTTTTCGAGGGAAGGGCGGGTTGGGTGCTGTCTTGGATTCTTCAAAGGATACAGCAAAAATGCACCTGCAGTACGAGGAGTGTTTTTGCCGACTGCTTTTGCCAACTGCTTCTGACTTCAACCCTCATGGTCCTTGATGGCCCACTGAAAACTTGTCACTGGCTCGCAATGGCTCGCCTTCAGAGTGGGCAGGATACTCCGAAATTTCCCCTAGGCGGACATCTTGACCACCCCCAAAGAAAAAAAGGCGCCCCGCGAGGCATTTGCTGGGTTGATAGGCTTCATGGGGAAGAAAAAAAAAGCAAGGCGCTTTCCATGGCCCTCCATCTTTAGGCCGAGAGATCTGAGAGACTTCTAAAATAGTCTAAACCGATCATGTTATCCGCAAGGAACCCGAGATCCTCGAGCCCCTGGTCACCGAAAAGTTTTGTTTGCACCTCGCCGCTTGAGCCATTCAGTCAGGGGTGACAAGGAGAACAAGCCTACAACATGACCCACTTGGGAGCTCATGTTTTGAGGATACTTGGTGAATGGTCAAGTTATGAAGCCCCCAAAAAGTGAGCGTTCAAAACTTCCAAAAGGGGAAGTTCAGTTGCCGACTTGTTCCTCAAAACATGATTCGGCCCCCAAAAAAAGCTCGCGGCGTCCTTTTGACTTCCCTGTAAATATCGAATCCCTCAAGAGCTGGACGCCGTGCACCCGGCGTTTTCTGTTGGCTCTTGGGTTTGTGTGTGTGTGTTGTTGTTTTTTTGTTGTTTTGACGGGAAGCCAATAGCTAACCACTAATTTCGAACCCCAACTATGACACACACACACACATCGAAATGCCCATGACCAAGATCATCCTTTCCCCCCTCTGAGAACCTGAGGCCTGGACGCCCGTCTCTGCCAGCTTGAGCAGTCGCTCCAGGTTGCCCTTCGGCTCCAAGCCCAGGTGGTAGATCCACTTGGGGTTCGAGCGCGCAATGCTCGTCCAGCACGAGTGGGCTTGCATGTCCTTCGGCCGAATGGCGTCTGTTGGGTTCTGTTGGCTGGGTGGTTTGGTTGGGGTTGGGGTGGTTGCCAATCCCCACTAAAATAGACTAAAATGGGTGGTGCACCTACCCCAAAATGGTCCTTTGGTTTTGACCCACAGCCATGTTTATTTTCAGGACCCCAAGCTGTTCAACGCTCAGATGCCATGGGAAAAAAGGGGCACCCTTTTTCGGTTGGTTGACTTTAAAGGGTCACCCTTCCAAAAAAAAAAACACTGGGCATTACTGGGCAACTGGGAACATATTTTGCCGCTAGCAAAATAAAGAAGAAGAACGGGCAACGGCAACGCGCTGCATCCAAGAGTCGTACATGATGCCGAAGATATGCCACCAGTGCTTCGCCGTCATATATGGCGTGTCCCCAACAGTGGTCACATAGCCTAGCGCAGAGAAAAGCGCCCGGACACGTGTTGCTCCTGCTCCTAAAACAACGCAACTTAGATTTGGCCCTTTTGAAGTATTGCCAATTGAAGTATTGCCAATTGAACACCCTCCCACAAAAGCTTGCCCTTTTCTTGTTGGAGGAATCGATTTCTACGTTCAAACCTTTGTTAACTTGATTAAAACAAACAAGGAAAAACAAACAAGAGAGCCTAGGTCCTCCAGCAGAGGGGTTAGAATGATTTGGTACCCTTTTTTTTCTGTAGAACAAAAACACGGGCGCCCGGCGCTTATTCTTCGCTTTTTTGTGCACTGGTTGCAAGTGGGTAGCGACCCTGCTGGTACCCGCTCTTCACGGCCTTGGAGCTGGCGGCCGTCTTCCAGACCTCCTGAGGCGAATGGCGAAACAGCAGCGAGCGGCGGTGTTTGGTCAGATAGCTCCAGACGATGCAAAATCGGTTGTTCCATAGGTTCCATTGTTCCACTCCCTACTTAACTAGGTCCTCCATTAGAGAGGTTAGAATAAGGGTACCCTTTTTCTCTGTACTCTATTTTAGCAGGGCAACCCTCCCCCGAAAAAGGGTAAAAGGGCACTACTAGAGGACCTAGTTAAGTTGGCATTGTGCTCGTAAGTGGCTTGCAAGCCTTGTAGTAACCAGGCTACCCATGGCTATAAGTCTCTCCCAAGTGTGCTATAAGCAGGCTTACTAGCCACTTCCTAAGTACCCTGCTCCTTTCAGTACGGCTCCAACCTTGGCACTGAGCGCTGTTTCAACATTGTAACATCTCAAGCAGAAAGCTTTGAACAACCTCCCCTTGGTTTCTTTCAAGCCTCGGGGCTGGACTAAAAACATATGCCCTCTGGTTGAACACGTGAGCCTGTTCTGCAAGAACTTCTGGCGGGATGTGTCAAGATCCAACTCGAAACTGTAATCTAAAATGTCTAAGAGGTACTGTGGATGCACAAAATCCACTTCGCACCAGCTGGGATGGCTTATCAACCAGCATTCCAATCAGGCTTCATCCGTTCCAACTGGTGCCGGTGGAAGTGGATTTTGTAACCCCCAGTCCTGAACACGTCGAGGATTTTATGCGTGGGGACTACGGCATTCATAAGGACACCTGCCGCATACACTTTTGCCAGCAGATTGACATGGAACCTGACAAACCACAAGTTCTAAAAGGAATGTCCTTTTGGGAATGCCCTTGTTAGGTTCCGTGTTGATTTGCGGTCTACTTTGCAACCTCCCTCGCTGGCGTTTCTTCTTTTTAATATGGGGCAAAGTAGACTCTAGATGACCATGGCAAGGGGATCCTAGGAATCCACAGAAGGATCCCTAGGCTTGCCCCCCAGAGTATAAACATTGGGCCCATTTGCCCTGAAGCTGCAAATTGCCGTGGAAATACCTTTGCAACCCTTGGCATGGTCGCAAAAACTGTATTCTTATGCAGCCCCTACACAAAAACACACGCACCTAGACCCCCGACAGCAAAATCATCCAGCACCTGTAAAAGTAACAGCACCCCCCGAAGAGCACCCGGCCGTTCATCTCACAACATGCGCCTGCACCGTCACCACGAACAGCACCCTCAAACAGCTCCCGCAAAGCACCCGGCCGTCAATCTCGCAAAATGCGCCCGCACCGTCACCAGCACCCCAAACAGCACCCTGAACGATATCCCACCTGCACCAGCACCCCGAATTGCATGTCCCCTAGCACCCTACCGTCAATCTTCCAAAAATTATTGCAAAAGTGCGCCTGCACAAACACCAGCACCTCAAACAGCACCCCAGACAGCACCCCCAAACAGCGCCCACACCACCCAAACTGCACGGCCCCCAAGCACTAGCCCGTCATTCTCGCAAATCACTTGTCCCTCTTTAACAGAGAAGTTAGAAGCCCTATAGCGTTCAGCTATCTGGGGAATGAACAGAACCCCCAACAACTAAAAGCCTTACACCATGCCAACAGTGAAGATACCCCCGGCACGAAATTCAGGCTGGTGGAGGCCATGCCGAGCTTGCGGCGCTCCGCGGTGCGCAAACCGGTTGGGGATTCTCCGAAGACGCCACTTCTGATCAAGTGGCCCAAAAAAGTCGCCGCACTTTTCGGCCACCAAAATGGTCCTCCCCAATAACGAAACTCCAAAGAAACTCAGGGAGTGAGGCTATAAAATTCAGTGGATTCAAGGCCGGGATGGTCTCCTAAGGATCCAAGCACAAGAGGGAAAAGAAACAGGATGCGCCCCCGCTCGGAAATCGCATGTGTTTTCTGCGATTGGTTTTGACTCCACATGGGCTTTCAACAAAAAGGCGCACCGCAAAGAAAGAAAACTCCTGGAGTCTCCACGACCCTCACATCATGGGGGCACAACTGTTAGTTTTGGGTGAACACCCAACTTTTGCAGGGTCAGAAGGAGACTCCTGGTTGGCTCTTCCCACTTGAGCAAGGTGCGCGCAACGAAACCCACGACTCACAACTCTAGGGGTTGATTCCCCATTCTTTTCAACCATCAACCATCGTTCCTTTCAAAAACCAGCTGTTTCCCTGAGTTTTTGATGGTTTCCTGAAAAGATTCGGATCCCTGAAAGAATGGACATGGAAGGTAGCCCAAGACATCTGAATAGGCGTTATGTTGGCAACCACCTTACTCTGCATTTCTGTTAACAGCGACTCCCATCGAGCCGTCGTTCCTTGGTGCCCACCAAGTCCACCACCAGGTCGAAGGGCGACTCGCAGAACTCGGGGATCTCCCACCTGCAGGTCTCGGGAACCCGCACTTCTTGGGCGGGTGGTTTGCGAAATTCGGAGGCCCCAAAAATGGACTTGGGCGGGTCCTTTTGGCTTCTCCCAAAAAGCACCCCCAAAGAAGGGGTGTGTGGGTGTGGGTGTGGTTTTTACTTTTTCCCCCTCCCCTCTCACAACAAAGGGTAAAGTTGCCCCTAAAATCACAAGAAGAACCTGCTGTGGGGTGTGTCTTCCAATAGAGGACCGAAAACAAAATAAGGTTCTCCTGAAGTTACCCTTTCACAGAATCCAAGAAGGGCACGCTCAACACAAGCACCAATAGACACATGGGGGAGTTTCCTGAATTTCCTGATGTTTCATCGAATCGGATAGAAGCCTCACCCGAACCTGGGTTCTCCTGGTGTTCCATTGATTCCCCATTGGGGCCCAAACCGAAAGAGCTCTGTGCGGAACAAACTATATAACCCCAATTGGTGTTAACAGGGCTCCCTATATTTCCCATTAGAACATCACCCTCAGCAAGGGACACTCACTTTGCATGGGCCGGAAAGGCGATGTTTAAAACCGCCAAGGGAAATATAGGGACCCCTGTTTAACTCTGGGTCTTAGATTCAAACACCTGGCCGCGGTAAAAAGATCGAAATTCATGCTGGACCTCAGTTCTCTGGGCTGCCCGATGTCTGATCCCCCGCGAAAAGTGACTAGCTTTTAGTGGGTTAAAAGGAAACTACGAAGATACTAAACACTCAAAAGCTAAAAGGCGAAGGGACCGGATGGCTGGGAGCCACCAAGTTCTGGTTGGTCTTCGGAGGCAAGTCACAGTTCAGGTCTTGCCGGCGGATCCTCTAAATGGGCGAAAAAAGCGGATCCCTGGGATGATCGGGGAAGTTATTTTTTTTGAGATCCAGTCGGACCTGTTGAACTTTGAACTAGACTCTAGACCGAACCATTGATGCGTTTTTTGTTGGATGGATCCCAGATGTTTGAGTAGACCATTTGGAAACCAAACCGTTGATGCGTGTTCTTTAGGTGGATCCCATATTTTTGAGTAGACCGTTCGGGGGAAGAAACAAAAAGGTCCACCAACCCACTCCCCTCGGAGTCCCCCGCGAGTTTTCAACCGAGCCGCCACTTCTCCTTCTGGTAGTCCACCACACGGTCCACGCCCAAACCCTCAGAGGTGCCGCCTTCTTTGGCCCCTTTTCTTGCTGGTTCTCAGGGAGCGAGTTGGACTGACCCCTAGAAAACCATCCCCTGTGGGTTCCTTTAAGAGATTCCCCAAACCGGTTCATTCCCAACACCCGGAACGGTCATTTCCTGGGTATGCATGCTGGATTCTGGGTATGCATGCTGGCGCACATACCTAACTGAGGTTGGACCCCTTGTTACCTATAAAAGCAAGAACCCAAGTAGATGACCGTGACATCATTCGGTTAACATCAGGCGTTCCATGCTGCCAAGCTGGGATTCCCCATCACTGCAGTTTATCACTTCGGAGGGGGCTCTCTTGGCCACCCGAAAGTGGCCCCAACTCACCGACATTGTATCGACGCAACTTGCAGGAAGGTATGGGATACTCTCCTACCATGTTTTTTTGGTGGATCCCATTTCAAGCACCGAGTTATTCGTGGGCTATACCCCAGGCGGCCAACCGCAAAAATCTACCTTGGCGACGAACATCCAAGTACATTGGCGTTCCTCTCGCACCCGGGAATCTGTGAGCTCGCCAAGTGAGCAGACATGTTTGACCATACCCCTTTTGGCTGCTTGCTCATGTGGCTACAATCCTTCCTCAAAGGTGGCTGGCCATGAATCTCCATCCAAACCGTCCGGGATGCGTGAAAATTATGCGCCATGTTCCCACATGGTGTTTGGCTTTGCTTCTCTGAACCAATTTGGTGGATTCCGACTAAGATGCCCCGCCATTCTGACGTGTATGTTCGAAAACCCAAATAATGACCAAAGGATACCCCCCCCCCCCCCCAATTTGGGGCAAAGCAATTTTCCAGTTGGTGTCCCTAGCCAACAACTCAAGAAACGGGCTGAACTGTGGACAAAAAACCGCACCACTTCGAAACGATTGGGATCCATTGCTGGTTGGACCATCTGCTCATGCTGCACAATGTTGACCCCGGATTAACAAACCCCAGTTTATTCATGGAGGGGTTTTGGAGGCCCCCCCAAAAGTGGCGTCTAATTCCCCACGTCCAGGGACACCCCCCCTACTGATAGGGGTTGATGAATCCGGCGTTGAAACGGTCTACACAGAACCATGTAAAGAATTACCAAGGCAAAGATCCGAACCCGGTGATTTTACGGCAAGATTGTCCCCCCTCCAATTTCTCCTAGTGTGACTCATGACCCGCGGGTTTCGGATTTCCCCGCGGTGGGGTGCCGCCAAGGTCCTGGCCAGCAGCAGCTCCTGGGAGCTCACCGCCGCCACGTAGCTGGCGCCCTTGGGCTTCAGCATCTGCACCTGAGTCGGCCCGATTTCTGATCCGCGAAAAGGGACTCATGTGTTTGTTGTGTGTGTTTTTCCTTTTCTCCCCCCGAATCAAATCTAAAAGTTGATAAAACTTTTCGTGGGTTAAATTCGGAAACCGCTAAACACTAAAAAGATCTGGCTAAGGAATCGGATGGCAGGGAGCCACCAAGTCGTGAGTCGCTCGCTCGGGTTGTCGAGTCAAATCGGGCGGTTTCCGGTTAGCTTTTGGTGTACCGTCCCTCCATGGAAGCTGACAGAAAGGTGGGTGGCAACCCGGGGAGAAACACTCACCCTGGACCTCCATTTGTTGGTTTTTCGTTTGCTGGGAGATGATGACAGATCGATTCCCTGCAAACCTCTGCGAGTGGAAGCCTATTGATCCTTTTAGTTCGACAAGGTGGACCCAAGAAGATTCCCCCCTTTTCCGGTACTAATTACTTGGATGCTCAACCAACTTAGTAAGTACACTATCACAATAGTTCTCTTGGGACCCACCCCAAGGCTTCCGCCAACGCTTCCCCGAACGCCGACGGCGAAACCGAAGGCGCCAGGTGGCACCCGACGCCGCCGGAGGCGCCCAAGACCAGCACCCGGTCCTTGGGCCTCACGTACTTCTCGCCTCGTTCGTTTCTCTCGTCCGAAGCGGACGGAAAAGCCGCAACGAAGGAAGGCGCCGAATGAGGCCGTCCGCCTGTTTGTCCGTTCCGTTTTCGGGGCCGGGGAAAAAGTGAGGTCCTCAGAGTTAAAATATGAAGTTCGGGTCTTTAGTGTTCTCTAAGTTTGTTTCTTGAGTGCTGCCTAAGTCCATACATGTCTGCTCTAGAATACAAACTGGTTTGGGAGAAGACAGCTTAGAGGGGGTCCTTCCCTTTTGAGGGGGGAACGCCCCAAACGAACATCTGCCAAGCTTTTTCAACCTCCGGGGTCCGCAGGCCGGTGTGTGCGGCCCTTTTTAGGGGGAAAACAAATAGGGACTGAGCTTCCGAGATTCCCGCTGTCTGGTGGGTGGATAGAAAACACACCTAAAAACGACCGATGCGATACATGGAGAAACCCGTTGAAAGAACTGGACGAAGGTGGTTCTCACAGTTTGGTCCTGTTGCCGGCTTGGAATCTTGGACTGGCTTAGTGCAACACGGACTTGGCCTGCTTGCTGGCTGGCCTTTCGGGTTGTCCTGTTGCCGGATAGTGGGTGACAAATACGTGAGTGACCCCGAAAAACTTGCACACGCTGGTCCGAACAACCTTGCACCGGATCAATGGCACGGGGATTGTCTCCGACTCATGTCCACAATTTACGGACTTCCGGAGTGGATTAGCCATGGTTGGCGAAAATTGCCTTTTCTGTAATATACCAACAGCCATCCACAGGACTACTTTATTACTTTACAGGGGATTCCGTTGGTATCACAGAACATGGCGCTATAACCTACTTTGCCACTACCATTGGCCAAAACAAGCGTAAACGTTTGGCCATCACACCACTCCCAAGTGAGGTTCAACCAAAATGGGTTCAACATGGGCTCAACCAACTCCCAACAGGGCTCCCTTCCAATACTGTTTAAAGAGTGGGTTTATTTTGCAAAGGGGAACCCACACAAGTAAGTGGTTCTTACTCTCAAACACCTTCAAACAATTTCTCAAAAGTGCCTATTTCCCTCAAATAAATAAAACAAGAACCGTCAAAAAAGCAGGAGGGTAACTGTTGAACATGGCTTGAACATCCGCCCGTAAACTGTCGTGGAAAGAGGCGCCAATTGAAAAATGGGCCCGAGATAGTTGGGCAGGGTTCCTTAAAAAACACAACCACAAATCATATTTCAGGAATATGCCCAAACAAAATCTGAATTCCATGTCCTAGTGAGAAACTGAAAATTCAAACATGTGTCTGCTGACGTGTAAAACTTGCTTGCAGAAAACCTTTCAAACAGCTGGTGGAGGTGGTTTTCAATGGGGCAACATGCATTGTGTAAGGAACAGGCAACCAAAAGATCAGTTTCCTCTCAAGGGACCATTCATCTGTCAGATACCATGTGAAAAAAACATTTTGAACCCGCTGTACTCTTAAAATCACACATGAGCAGCCCCCGAAACCCATTGACTTTTGGTTCTACTACCGCGGTTGCAAAGGATGATATGGCCCTTACTATTAACCCTCAAGAGTTTCAGCTTTGGGAGCACTCACCAAAGTACCAGTGACAACTGGGTGTGTCCTTGTTGCCCCCCCAAAGAAAAAACAAACAAAAAAGAGAGAGTGTGGCAACACAAGGCGGGTAACCTCAACAAAGACCACCCCCCAAATGGGAGTTGCCCCATGTCCGATATGCCAGGCTTGGGGTTTTCGCGACCGATGCGCGGGTACAATGACCGTCAATATTGTTTTTCTACCCAGGCTTTCTTCAGCTTCCGCCCTTGGTTTGTAGTTTGGAGATTTGGATTGGCGGTTGGTTGAGGAGCGGTTTCGGGCTTCCCACTTATGCTCAAGAACCAGGGACCAAACCCAACTCCAAACCACCAAGCCACCGATCCAAACCGATCCAAGCTAGGCGTCACCCGATGCGTCCATCAACTCCAAGCATCGGATCCCAGGTGCCCCCGGCTGAGGAATTTATCACCGGGACCCCAACTCCGTAACCCAAAGCCCTGCTGGCGAAATCATGTCGCGGAATCCGCGGAATCCGCGAGATGAACTCATGGGTGAAACGATCCACGGTACTAGCCAGGAAAAAAAACGGCTTAGTCGCTAACATAGACCCTACTGGGATTGAGGAATCGGCCCCCTGCGGGGCCGCTTGGCAACGAAATGATTTTAAGGTCACTTGAAAGCGATTACAGAATAAAGCCAACGGGACACACAACCACGACTGATTGATGATCCTGAGCCCTCCAAGCAAACAAAGCACACACGCAAAAATCATACATGCAAACCAATGAACAATCAAACAATGAAACCAACAAGCAAACAACACAATGCAAACAAACAAACAAACAAACAAACAAACAAACAAACAAACAACCAAACCAAACCAAACCAAACCAAACCAAACTAAATCCAATTCAACTAAACTAAAGTAAATTAAACCAAACACACCAACGACGAGAGGAGTTTGATCCCAGTCACAGAGCAGCATGGCGCTAAGCGCGCTGCTGGGCAGCGCACAGAGCTGCTCCGCGCTAAGCTCGGGGCTTGGAGGCGCCAAGGCGGCGTTGGCGCAGTTCACCAGTCTCAGGCCCCGGCGGTTCGTTTGCCCCTGGGGGTGAAGCCCCAACATGTTATAGGGGGGATTGGGGGAGCCGGGAGGGGAGGGGGCGGCATTGGGCCGTCAATCTTCGAGGCAGTTTGTTGATTCCTTTCAACTCTCATAATCCCTCTTGCAGGGTAGATGTTAGTCAGTCTTTTCAAATGAGCGACTGGGAGTTCTTTTGTGTACCAGGGAGTAACTGAACAAATGGGGGGGTTGGGGGCCGGGGGGAGGCGGCGGCATTTCATGTTCATAAATTGTTGTTGCGCTGGAGCAGAAGCTGTCTTCCCATTTCAGGGTGATTGTTATGGTTGTCAAGGGCCCCCAATAGGGGCCGATTCCCCAATCCCAACAGGCGAAGAGCGACTATGAAGGCCGAGACTAATAGGTTTCATTTGTTTGGGCGGTCCCTCTTTGGGGGGCCCCTGACAACCATTGGATATACATTTCATGTTCATAATCTGTTCATATGACACCCACCCATCATGCCACAGGGGGAAAGGGGGGAGGGGGGATTGGGGGGGCGGGGAGGGGAGGGCGGGGTTGGGGGGCTGGACCACAGATGTATAGGTGTATATATATATATATATGTACGTGTATTTAGCGGACCATGCTTAATCTGACTGTTTTGGGGTCTTCTTGAATCGAATCTCAAGCTTTTCCGGGTTGGAAAAAACCTGGCCATTTAGAATTGGCAATACTACATTAAGCACGAGGAATCTGAGAGCATATCTTGGCAACAAAGTGCGTATTGGCAACAAACAGCATATCCATTTCAGCAAAATGGAAGTAGTACAAACAACTTCTTGGTATTCGCCAAGTTCGGTAAGTTGTTGGCCTAAGTTCAAACGCAAGCCTACCGCGGACCACTTGCCATTTACCCTGCCATTCTCGGACTGGGAGCTTGTACTCCGCCAGAGCGTTTCGGGGGCCCGCAGTGTCGAAGGTGCAGACCACGCGGTCCCCGGGCTTAAACTTCTTCCTCGGATCGGCCACTCGGCTTCCAATGCCTCCGTTATTGCGTCTTTGTGCCCTGGAAAAAAAAGCTATACAATGTGTTTTTGCAATAGTGATGGATTCCCTGAAACAAAACACATGAAAACCTATTTTTGTAAGAGTGATGGATTCCCAGTAGAAAAAATGCAACAGGGGGCAAAGTGACATATTTTTAAGCAAATGAATGAATAAATCTATGAGGCGTGTCACAGGTTTCAACTGTTGAATGGTGCAAGTAAAGTTTGAATAGGATTCAATTCCCAATCAAAGAGGTTGCAGTTTGAGGGATTCTCAAGATGGCAATTGGGGATAACAACCAACAAAAGAGGGCACATCCCTGTTTGCCCATGAGCAAACACCGGTTTTGGTTTTAATGGTTCCTAAAGAGAACATTTGAGGGATGATCAAAATCCACCTTTGGGGCCGGTTTCCCTTCAATCCATTTACAAGGTACTTTGCGTGGGTCCCGCCTCAAACAGTTGGCAAATGATATATTTATATATAATGTCTGAAAACAAACGCAGGACACCTAAAAGCCATCCCAAGTTGCCAATTGCGTCCGGTTCCATTGAGGCAAATTGGGTCGGTTCCCCATTGAGGGGGTCTGAGACGGTTGGTGGAAGAGACAAAGCCGAATTCTCCCCTGCACGTGAACATAAGGAACCCCTCAAAGACGATGCATGTGCGGATCTTGATTTTTTCGGATCCCAAGTGTGCGTTCCATGATGACTTGATCCAAGGGTAAGTGCGGCACCCCTCTATCCCCTGCATTTCATGCGTTCATAACACTCATCTAAAGCAGTGGGAGCCATCTTGGTGGCTGTTGACCCCTGTGCAAGAGGTTTATTTTGTTGTGGGTCCAATGGACAATCCACTGTTTCGCAGAAAGTTCAAGTCCAAAGATCCAACCAAATGGCCACAACGCCATCTATTTTCTACTCAAACTCACCTAGGTCCTCCAGTAGAGAGGCTAGAATAGGGGTACCCATTTTTTTCTGCAGTCTATTTTAGTGGGGGAACCCTCCCCCAAAACAGGGTGAGAAAGGGCACCTAGCTGGGGGACCTAGTCTGAAAAAAGGGCGCCTGCGGCAACCGCTCTCGTTCTCCTCCCAGTCCCGGCCGGGTTGCTCGCCTTGGCTCACCTCCGCCACCACGCCGCAGAGGTCCCCGCCGGGGACGTAGGGAAAGGACGGGGGGCCTCCCAACTGCTCCGACTGGGATCCCAAGAAAAGGTAACTGCCCCGCTCATTCCAGGCATCTGAACCTTTCCCGACAAGAAACACATGCCTAGATAGCCAGGTTGCGATCGCTTTTTTAGTCACCGTTGGTGGTTGGGGTAAAGTGCATGGAGAAAAATTTTTTTTTTTTTTTTTTTTTTTTTTTTTTAAAGGAACAAAAACACAGCCACTGGCGATCCAGGTACACACCAACGCACTTGGATCTTCCCTTGCCAAGCTTCGCGAGTCGGCCCGGGCCACCCGGGGAGGTGAAATTTCTTCACGGGGCACTTGTTTCAGTCATGGCTTGGGGTAACAACTTACCTTGGCCGAAGACCCATGTATGTAAATCCATTTACTAAGTTGTTGGTAACAAGTGGACAAACAGCAGTCACACCCAAGTGGGGAAGCACCCAAGTATGTGTCTCAACTTTCCAGAGGTTCCGAAATCTCTCTCCCCGTCGTTCTTTTCAGAAACCAACCTTTTTTTCCGGGGTTTGGCCGAAGGTAGAGCCAGAAAAGCGCGACATCTGGACCCGAAATGGATTTCAGCATTCCCTTTCAACCAACCTCAAAAGCGTGCCCTCAAAAAGACACACACACACATTGATCTGTGCCGATGTGCCGTGGTGAATCTCCTTGCGTGGGGGGATGGCTTACTCAACTTTGGTTGTCAACTTGGCTCCCGGCTCAGTAGGGGCACATGGTGCACCCCCCCTTTGCCAGTCTAGCTTTCAATGACCTCTTTTCGGATCGTGGACAACCATGACCATTGTGCAGCATGAACCATCTTGATGATTCTCATCGGGTTAACCATCCCTTATGGATCTGTATTTTTTGTGGGTATCAGTTGGCTTTTGAGGGGAACCAAATCAAGGGCTTTTCCTGGTTTAAATTTAGAGCTCGTCCCCCCATGCCCGGAACTAGATTTGGGAAGCTTCACTTTTCAGCCAGAAAGATTCCTCCAAAGCCCCACGTGCGGGCCCAAAAGGTGATGTTTGTCACGCCTTGTGGGGTCAACCCATAAGGAAACGTTTTCTAGACCCGGCAACCCAATGAATGAAAAGCCGAAAATCGTCAGATTTGAGGAGACCCATATTAACAAAAAGGCTAAGAAATGTAGTTGGAACCCGGGTATTCAAACCACAGAACGCCAGGAAGGGTCGATTGGCCTGAAATGTCTACATAAATCCATGGAAGTTAACTCAGTTGCCCAAAGGACATTGGAAATATATATATATATATATGTATACATATATATATATATATGTATATATCTATATACATATATATATATATACATATATATATATATATACATATATACATATATACATATACACACATCTAGATACATATATGCACATATCTATATGCTTACAAACGTAGCAGCTACACAGACACGCAGACCGTAACAGGTTAACCTCTTGGAACCTTGGAAAACCCAAGCTTCCAAAAATCGGGGCCATGGACAAGTCAGCTAACCCTTCTAGACGTGCAGAGGTTGGTGCACGTTGGTGGCAATTCGCATGGAACGGGCCAACCGAATTGGAGAAACCGTTCACCCATTTGGCTGTAGCTCAAAAAGATGGAGCCCAAAATGGAAAACCTTGGTAAGTTAAACCAAAGACTAACACCTGCGGTTTGCCCTGGCCCTTTAATTTTGAGCCACACCCATTTTCCGCCCTTGGGGTTTGACCGTCTAAGCGGTGATTGGCTATTCCCCTTCGCCTGCTCGGAAAGGCAGGAAAGCCTGTGCCGACTCCCCTCAGATGTTACAAAATACATCCCATTCACATGACGAGCTCTTTAGGAGGACCCGCTACCCCAGCTTTCCTACCCCCCAGCCGATGTACTTCCTTCCTTTTCATAGGACGAACAAAAACAAACCAGATCCAAGATTTTGTCGGGTCCAGGCATAAAGAACCCCATGGTGCGAATTCAGTGCGACTCGCTGCTTTACCCACCCACCCACCCACCCACCCACCCACCCAAAGCCAGCTCGTTTGGCCAGGGCGCCTTGCACTAGGCTGGTCTTGCCCGACATCACACGGCAGTCGCCGGGCGCCAGAGACCTGAGTCGGGACCTAGGACCCAAATCTGCGACCAAACCTGATGCCGGTGGCTCCCGCAGCACCTGGAACTCATATGTGACGCTTTTTTTTCTGTCCATACGGCTTGAGGCACAAAAAAACGGCCATACGGTCATTTGACGGCTTTTTGTCAGCAATTTGTTGAACAAATACAGGATGCATACGGCCAAATACGGCCACCGGCCAGAACAAAATGACCGTACGGGAAAAACGCTGCCAGTACGGTTTCCGGCCGGAACAAAAAAACTGCCACACGGCTTTCCAGGCATGATTATGAAGGACATGAGGGGGTGTCGAAAACTAGGGGATCCCAAAAGGGTGGCTTTTTGTTGGGGTTTCCATTTAGAGCGATCCAAAACAATCCCCAATTAAACCAAGCAGAACCGCCTACTATGATGGCCCTTTTGGAATCGGTTTTGAGCGCTGCTCTGGAGGGGAAACTCTTTGGGGAAGGCATTCAGTTTCTATGGGCTTTTTTGTTGAGGGCATCCGTTTGGAGATGACAGGGGTTGGATTTTCCCTAAGTTGCAATTGACTGGGTGTCCATTAAAAAAATCGCAGCTTTGAGAGGTGCAAACAAGGGAAATGGAAGAAACCGCTTTTGAGAACTCCTCGATTCAGACACGAAACCAGATTTCCCCCGTTTTCCACTAGGTTGCATGAGGTTTGGTGGAGCTTGCAAGGCCTACCCTTGCTGCGACGAGTCGTTTCCTTTCCCGCCGTATGCCTGTATCACTTTGAAGGGACCTAGGCCCCTTGTCCACTCACGGAAAGTGACTCTAAGATACCATTTGCCACGAAACTCGATTCTCCCAGGCCCAAAGCAGCAAAACAGAAAATCCGCCTCGTTCACCTTTGAGTTTGGGCCACACAAAAGGCCTGCAGAAGGTCATGGGGCTAAATTTGAGGAGGCGGCGTTTCACCCAAGGAATCGCGGATGAGTCCTGCCTGCGCCCGCATCCAAAAGCCAGTACAGGTCCCAGTCTGCAATAGGGGGAACGGCATCGATGGCGTTGTCAGAGGGGCCCGGTCTTGGAGAGAACGAAAAAAGAACCCATCGTGTACTACATGTGGAAGGAATGGGGGCCCGTTCCCGGAAAGCTGGCACGTGTCCACGGCACCGAAACGGGTGCCAAAAAGGGGGCGATGGTTTGACCAGAGCAGGCAGGGGTTCTCTTTTCTCTTCTTTTGCAGGGGACGGTTGCATCCCCAGTTTGAAGCAAGCCTCACCAACTGGGTTCAAAATGCCCACCCCCTGTCCGTTTCCTTGTAGCAAACAAAAAACCGGCCTGAGCGGACAATTTGCGCTCAGTATCAACCAGATGCTTTCTTCTTACTCATTAAAACTCCAAGCCCTGGGGAAGTCAATCTTTTACAGACATAAAGCCCATGTTACCCCCAAAAAGTTACGAAAAGTTGTGTTTTTAAGAGGTAAGTCTTGGGTCACCCCAAGAACGGGCCCCAGGAAACGGGTTCCCTCCACCACCCATTCATTCAACCACAGACATAAACTAATTCTCCTGAACGAGGTGCCGAGAAGAATCGCGTCACAAAGGCGGGGCAAGGGGACAGTCCGAATTCTCTCAGTGGGTTTTGGGCACGAAAATGAAAGGCGATTCGCTTCGAGCAAGTGAGAAGGTTGATTCCTTGGGATGGCATCGCTGCAGGGTCCCCTGCGCTTTTGTTTGACCAAATTTCGGAAGAATCGTGGAAGCCCCGGCTTCATTTTACTGGTTGATAAATGGGGCCCAACCTAGACACTTTCTGAGTGGATGGGCTGAACAAGTCAAGCAGTCCAGGAACTCGGGGACTGAGGTGGGCTTGTTAGTAACCCCCGAGTGGTAGGTTCAAGGGGAACAACCTCAAATGCTGGCTTTGCTAAGCCCTAGACACACTCAAAATAATGACTCAAAAAAGACGCTGTCCAGGAACTCACCTGGGCCGTCCCCAAATCCCCTACCACTGTTTTAACTTTTAGCGGGCTAAATGGAAACCCCCACTAAACCCTAAGAAGCCTAAAGACCCAAGTGGAGGGTTGGAAACCGCCAAGGCATGACCCCCCCCCCAAAAAAAAACAAAAACGCGGAGTGCGTGGAGAGCAAAATATACGTGCTCGAGCGGCTTTCTTTTTCTTTGCGCTTGCGCCCGAGGCGCACCGCCAGCACTCGCACCAAGATCTTTCCCTTGCCCTTCAGCTGCGGCCGCTGCACGCTGGAGGAGAAGCTAATCAGCTCCTCGGGGTCCCCGTAGCCGCTCACCTGCGGTGCTTGCGCCGGTCAAGGGGAAAACGAGCCAAGTCATGTCCCAGGCAAAAAAAGGGGAGAGATGCTAGGAATGGTTGCGAAATCCATTTGGCACCACTTTGAATCCATGGTTGAAACCGGTGCTGGTTGGTACTTGCAGGGGGAATCATGATTCCAGGGTTTCTTAGGTGGCGCGAAATGGATTTCGTCCATCCGCAGTATGGGGAACGAGCCCTACATGTCCCAGGCAAAAACCAGGGGACGACCCATTTCCACGGCAACTTGGGAGGGGACGCTTGGGGTTTTCCAAGCACGTTTTGAACGGCCTTCTGGCCTTCTTGCTTTGTGAGCAAAGAAGGGATAGCCCTTGGAGTGACGTAGTGTAGCAACCCCCCCTCTCTTTTGGGGAAATGACGTACCTAAAGATACAGCTAGGTCGCTGGGGGATCTGTTTCACCCATGTCGAGTCTCGTCAGCTTTCGATGCAAACACAAGAACTAAAAAACAACGCCGTGTCATGTCCAAAGAATCTATGTCGATATTAGGACCCCAGCAAAAACCTATGTTTTGCCTTGTGCAAAGGGGTCCCAAAAAAGCGGAAAACGTCAAAAACAGGGGAGCTAATTCTGGGGAAGTTGTGGGTTACTTGAAGTGAAACCAAAGCACACCGGTTGCGCCATTTTCGGCGCCGCCTCGGGCCGAAAGAGCGATTCGGGCAGCGTCCTGCGGCTAAGACGTCCTCCAGTTCTGAGTAATCAATGCCTGGTATTGAAGGGCTTGACCGACCAGGAAGAATCGGAACGGATCTCCGCAGCTGCTGGATGGGACTATTTTGCTGGCCTTCACTTCCCGAACCGGCTTTGATTGTGGCTCATCCTGAGGGTTGAAACTAGACGCATTGAAGCTTCTAGCTGTGGTTGGAGTGAGTGAGAGTCCCAAAATTGAAAAGTCGTTGGACTTTGTATGACAAGCTCTGAGAGCCAAACTAAAGGGATGTAGAGGGTGCCACTTTGAACAAGTCAGGTTATTTTGCTGGATTCTCTGACCTTTCGCATTCGCCTGGGCCCATGATTGTCGAACACATTTTTTGGCTGTCCTTCTTCCTTCTTGGTTGAGTCCCATGACTACTTTATCACTGTAAAGTTAATCCCATTGACAACAGTCAGAAAGTGGTATCAGGTGCCCAGCGGATTTCCATGGGAAAAAGAAAGAATCGGCATCCTTTTTGGGTTGGTTGACTTTAAAGGCACCGGAACCCTTCCCTCAAGAAAAGAGAAAACAGGGGCGGAATCCACTGGGCAGCTGGGATTGAATCATTCCTCGGCGGCTTTGGGAGCCTTGGCCAGGGGAAAACCCTTGGCACCTGGATGGCCGACATCCTTTCTGCCGCCATGGCGAGCCGATTTCCGCGGGACCCGAGGCCCGCGTGCGTGCGAAAGCTGCGCGGCCAGGCGGACAATGACTGAGGCTTTCGGCACTCACTCCAGTTGTTTTCTTTTTTTTGTTTCTTTCTTTTTCCGGTGGTTGTCGTGGTTTCATTTTTTGTTGTGGTGGGGGACGGGTCCCCACTTTCTAGGGGCTGTGCCTTTTACTTGCAAGAAAAAGGTATCGTCCAGAACCTTGCGGCGCCTCCATAAAAAGTATCGTCAACATAGGCGCTCGCAACGGTGATGCCGTTGCAGATCCAGAAAGCAAGCCTTCACCACGCTCCAATCCAGGAGCGAAAGCTTGACCTTCTGTCTGCCACCACACGAAAGCAAGCCTCAACCCAGCAAAGGAGTCCCGCTGGCGATTGGAGTCCCGCACCAAAAACCACGCACGGCTTAGACTGCAATCGTCTTCCACGTGCTTAAGCCCCCTGGAAAAAAATAAAAACCTATGTCCAGTAGTGATAAATCGATCCCCTGTATCACCAAAAAGGGAAGACTAAAAGACGTTCTTTTCAGAAAATGGATGTAATTCACCCACCTGACATGGACCCCTAAGAAGGGCACCGGAATCGGTGATCCATGGAAGTCGTTTTTTGAGGTGAAGAAACAGGTTGTCCAAATCCAAGGCACGATTTGGTCTGAGGTGTAGAACAAATCTCAGGTTTGCTGGCAAACCAGATCTTTAAAGTGGCTTGGAACGGAGCAACATCACGAATATCAAAGCCCTTGGTTTTTGGACAGCTCGGTAGTCACGCTCTCGGCTTAGGCGCGCGCGTGGAGGTCGTGGAAATGGGCACCTTGATCGATCGTGGCTTTCGGGGTGTTTTTTCCACTTAAAGGGCGATCGGGCACGTAGCGAGTGAGAATAATAACTATGGTGATAACCCACAAAAGCCATGGTTACTTATAAGTTTCCCAAGTGGGTTATAACCAGGCTTGCTAACCACTTACGAAGAACCCTGCCGACTCTGCCTCTTTTAGCAAGGGGACATGGTACAATCAGTGAGTCCCCGATGTTCGTGGGCAATTGCATGAGTCCCTCGTGTCCCCTATTCAGGAACATTTGACGAAGCCTCATGTCGACCCTACCCCCTGCCTCTCCCCGATCTCCCGTTGTTGTCTTCTGTTGCTGGACCAATTAGCTTCGCTGGATGCTGCAATCTAGCGGAACGGGGAGGGTGCGACAACTTCTCTCTTCATCAAGGCATAAAGTGCTTCATCCAGCTCTGGGTATCGGTCCTTGATCTGGAGGAGGGCGTACATGAGCTTCACAGTGTGCTCAAAGGCACTGCTGCTAAGCTCCTTGGACTTCCGACGTGCGACCAGCCGACACAGCATCTCATGACACAAGGTAGCCCAATCCACCACACCAGAGGAGAGCTCGTCTGGAAGCGGAAGCGGGGCCGCTTGCGTCAGAGGCGCCTCCTGTCGACGCAGAGCCTCTGTGCAACCGACAGTTGCGAGCGTGGCTGCCCATGCAGCGCTCACACCCTCAGGAAGAAGGAAGGGAAGGACAGCTCGCAGCGCGTTGGCGCCTGTCACGCAATGCAGAACGGAGAAATCGTGATACTGGCCGTAGAGCTCGACAAACACCCTGTCCATGGCAGCCATCACTGCCAACATGTCCTTGTGCGGGAATGCATCGACGGCAGCCATGAACTCGGGCACTTTGAAGTACGCCTCCTGCCGCGCCTGCAGAGATTTGCACTCAGATACATCCACCCTCATCAGCAGTTGCTCATTCTGAAGGAGTTTCGCAACCGCTGCTTTGATCGCCTCACCTTCCACTGGGGCGGCAGGGGAGGTAGAGAGGGGAACGGGTGCATGCCCGGAATAGAGGTACGCTAGTCCGGCGGCGACTTCGCCAGCATCACCCGCATCAATCCCAAAGGAGATGCGAAGGAGGGCGTGGAACGCTGCAGCGTGCACGCCGTGCTGGACCTCTCGGATGAAATAGGTGCTCATCAGAGTCGGGATCTTGTCGGCGTCACCGCCTAAGGCCGCCGCCTTGCCGAAGAAGTAGCGCGCAAATGCCGTCGCGTAGGAAGGCTTCCCCAGATGGACCTCCAGCGTCTCATCGGTGACCACGGCATCAAGATCTTGCGCCCCTCCAAAGGTGGGGACGGGTCTGGCGTCCAGCTCCGGCACCATGTCCTCACAGTAGATGGCCACGACCTTGGGCCACTGCTCGTCCGGAAACCGCTGCGAGAGCAGATCCATCGCAATCACTGTCATGCCCACGTGGTTGCGGTTGTAGTTGAAACTCTGCGCATCCTTGCTCCGGTTTTGCTCGAGAAATGCTGCCGCAGAGGATGAAAGCATTGGGATCAAGTCTTGCGCTATGCTGAGACAAGCACGAGGAAGGAAAGAGTCACATTGGCGTCGTGAAGTCACATTGTCTTCATTCGCCGCAGAGGGACGACAAAAATGGCACAATTCCCTCGTCGCCAAGGGGGCATGAAGCCAAAATATTGCAATTGCGCCATCTGTCACCCAACTGTAAGGGAACTGGGGGCTGGTTGTTTAAACAAACATCGCCCAGCCCAAAATTGGAGCCTCCCTAAAGAGGAAAGAAAATCCCTCTCATTGCTTCTGGGTTGTCCACAATGGAGGGATCCCCTATCCCAGCCGTAAGCCGTGTGAGACACCACTACGACAAGGAAAACCACTTCCATGACCATGTGGCATAAGGACTCAGGAATCATTTTGAGCAACTGCCAGATTAATGGGAACTCCGGATTATCAAATTAACCCCAGTTTATCAATAGGGGGAGTCTCCCTGGTTGAGTCGCGACTCATCACTATTGCAGGGGAAGTTCCCCCTATTCATGGGACACTGCCTACCACCCAACAGCAGCAAGCGCCCTGTTCAACGATTCGATCCGCCCAACTCGGCTGATCAAGTACAAAAGATGCAGGCAGTCACCGGAGCGGACAAGATGAGGATCACGGCGCCAGAGCCCGGACCGGGAGGCCGGGAGGAGGCGGCTCGAGGGATTCTCCAGGGATTCTCCAGAAAGCCAGCGACTGGTTTGGGATTCCTTACCTATCCCCTCACTTGAGTTCGTGGACTTCAAAGTTTTTGGGAAGGCCATTTAAAATGAAGCAATCCACTCGATCGGAAGTGAGACCCTCAGTTCCAATTCGAGGGATCAATTGGGGGAAAGCGAAGCTATGCCCATTTGTCGTGACTGCCACACACATCTCCACAACTCCAAACAACTCACCTGAAATGCCCTTGAATCATAGTAGGCCCTGCCTTAGGTGGGCAAAGCCCTTCTTTCATCTTCTCACTTGCCCAAACCTGGAAACACAGGCCAACCTTCTGGAACTTAACGTCGCTTCGCTTTGGGCGAGTGAGTTTTGGGCAACCTCTGGACGAAGACAACAAACCAATGCTAAAGGGATGACAATGGGTGATCTCACAACATTGCCCTTGGGAACTAAGAGCTCGCCAAATTCCTACGCCAAACTCCGCGAAGACTGGGGCAGGGGTTTGTCGAATCTCCCCCGCACAAGCTGATCAGGGGGGGGGAACAGTCAGTGAACAAAAACGGATATGGCTGAACTGTGATAAGTTGACCACCTGAAATGAGGCGGCCCCAAGAAACTACTTCTTCACAGGTGAGGCAACCCCCCCTTGTGCGAGGTCCCAAAGGGCAAATCACTATATTCATAATCTGCACATAAGGCATCCCCAAGTACCTTCATCACAACCCGTTGGTCTAGAAACCATCAAACCGAGGAGGTTTCCTTTTTTGTTTGTTTGTTGGTTTTTGTTTTGTTTACTTCTTCTTTCCTTTTTTTTTTGGGGGGGGGGGCTGGGGGGGGGGGGGAACATATATTTTATGTATATATGTATATATGTATTCTTTTTTTGGGGGGGGGCATTGAAGAAATGTTTCAAACTGCGTGGGACTGGTGACACACACCGAAATGTTTGGATGGCCCCCCAAAGAGCGACAGTGAGGCACCCACCCGTTTGTATGGCATCCTTTTTCCTTAATCCGAAAAGTTGCGGCTGATGACACAGCCTGACTCAACCGTGTTGGTTTCCCAATGTGAAAAACCGGTAAGCCCCACGAGTAGGTGAAGTAAGCTTTGCGCACCAAGCCGTTCCTTCCATTTGCATTGATTCTCGTCTGGGAAACATGAGAAAGTGAAATGAATTCAAGTTAAATCCGATGGCATAGTGAAACATATTTTTCCTGGTAATACTGCGGATGGACGAAATCCATTTCGCACCACTTTGAAACGTATGGGAAACCATAGTTGTCGGCTATTTGCAGGGGGAATCATCAGACACCAGGGTTCTTAGGTGGTGCGAAATGGTAAAACATCAAATTAAACAGGAGGGGTTACGCAGGTTTTGGTCCATGTTTCCACTTACCAGGGCAACCCATTTTGGGGATACCGTTTTTTTGAGCCACAGCCATGTCAGCCACTGGACAGCTTGGGAGGCTCTAACCACGAGGCTTAGGACCCGGCCGCTTCGACCGGCTCAGGAGCCACCGGGGTGGCGTGGGCAATGGGGATACCTCGCAGTTCGGAGTCGATTCAACAGCCTTGAGCAGTGTCCGCAGGGGGGGGTTCAGACCCACGCCCTCGCCCCCCGCCCCCCCCCCCAAAAAAAAAGAAAGAAACAGAAACAGGGCCAAAAAGCACAACGCAATTGAAATAGACAACATACCAACAACAGTGAGGGCCCACTGTCGGCTTTTTCCCGTTGGGATGAAGCCATGTTGTCTGGCCCTTCCTCAACCCTCCAGCCCCTTGTAAAAAGATGATGAACCCGGGCTTTGCTTTCCTGTCACTGTGGCTGAGTGTATAGGTCCATATATGAACCCGCGGCCATTTGGGACTTGGGAGCTGATTTCCCAGAACTCAGCCATAACATCAGCGGTTAAGCAACACGTAACCTAGGGTTTCAAAGGCTGAGTGGATCTTCCAACAACACATCCCACCTGTGGCACATGCTTTGTAACAGGGATCCTTACACTATACACCTGAACATTGCCTTGTCAATGGTGGTGCCCCTTTATTCTGGTGGAAAAAAGCCATGTTTCAAATGGGCAAAATGTATCTTTTAAGGAGCCCTGCTGTAAAGGGGGCCAATGCCAAAGAGCCGATCTCCCTGCCTTCACGGACCCTGGCTATGACCAGAGCTGCTACTACACACTTGCCAGATTAGCTGGGGTACAACCCACTCATAGCAAGGCTCACTGTGTGTAAGGGTTGCTTCATTGGTTTTCGTTAGGTAGCCAACCTGACCACTGCCTAATGTCGACAGTAAGATGTCTCTCCGAGGGACTGACAAGCAGCTTGTAGCTGTTCAGTTAACAACTTTTAGCGCCCAACACCCAAGTAGTTGATCTTTAAAGGGAGCCGCCACAAAAAGAATCCAGGAAGCAACTTGCGGCTCTGAGCGGCTGTCTGATTTTTGCAGCCGCGCGTTACCCTCCCTCAGGCGATTCGATCAGCTGCTGTAAACGGAACCACGTCCGAAAGGGGTCCTGAGAGACATCCATGGAATCGCCTGATGGACGGTATCTACTGCACCTATACTTTATCCGATGAAACCGTAACTGTATCAACGGTTTGGTTCTCCATACGGTATTATGTAACTGTATCTACCATGAATCCGTAACTGCGTTGTTACATTGCCTTAAAATACGGGATTCACGCAAGGGGTCATGTCCTATTTGGTGGCCCGGCAAACACCGCCCCAGCTTGCTCGGCTGGGCATTTCGCGCTCTAAGTCTCCCGGCTAGCTGCGACCTGAGTTCCAAGCGAGCCGCTACTGTGGGCGTAACGTGCCAACTTCTAGCTGGCTGGAAGGCAAAATGAAGGGAACCTGGTGCAAACTGTTGATTTTCGCCGGTTGGCCGGGAAAATGAAGGAAACCAAACAATTGAAACGAAAAAAGGGGGATTTTGGCGGCTCTTTCCGTCCGCTTTGTCTCTTCTGTATCTTCCGAGAGGGGTTTTAAGAGATTTCAGTTTTGTGTTAGCCCAGAGTTTTTTGAGTATACTGGAGAAAGGGGCTCTTTTGTCTCCGCAGACATCATGGATCATCATGGGTTCTACCCCACACCCAAAGGCTTCAAGGGTTGCTTAAAGGGGAGTGCCTAGGAAGCTCGTAACCATGGACCCACAAAGGCCACCACAAGTCGCTTCACTTGAGGCTTACTAACCACTTCCCTTAGGTACTCTGCCCCTCTAAGTATCCTCTCCATGAAAAACGCTGGGATAATTTGTGGAAACCATTGGGAAACCCATGGGAAATCTGCGGCAAACCCACACACAACCCCGCAAGAAACGTGGTACACACCTCCGGGCGGCCACCTCCGACCTCCGCTCGCTTTTTTGCTTGGCATCTGCGGATCCAGCGGCCCTCTGGCGCCATAGATCCGACGGACCTCTGGGGGCGATCGATTCGGCAGGCAATCTAGAAAACGGTTTGGATGTGGCTTTTGTGGTTCAACCCTTGTAGAAGGTTAAAAGAGTACTAAAAGATTGCTAAAAAAGGACCAACAGGGGGAAGAATAGGTGAAATCCGCAAAAGGCGCATCCAAAACGGTTTCTAGAAGTAAAACGTAAAACGCTAGTAAGCCTGGAACAAGGAAACTGATAACCAAAATTGCCAACCGCTTACTAACTAGATTTTCCAGTGGAGAGGTTAGAATAAGGGAAGCCTTTTTACTGTAGTCTATTTTAGTTGGGGAACCCTCCCAGCCCAAAAAGAAACGGTAAAAGTTGGCAGTACTGGGGGACCTAGCGAAGTTCCCCCCTGGAAAAATGGCCGCACCCATTTGAGAACAAAGCAGGATTTGCATCCGACGACTATCGGAGCACCTTAGAGCAGATCCTGTATCACAGAAATAGAAACTGGCCCTACGCACCGATTTCCCATTACTTCCCTCGGTTGCTTTCTGCTCCTCTGCTAAGAGTTTAACTTCTGGTTTATTGGAAAACCCATTGGTTAGCAAAAAGTTAAAGTCCCAACATCCAAGCAAAATGCAGCAAAGTTCCGCGAAGTGTTTCACTTTGAGTTTCTGCATTGAGTTAAGCTTAGAAAAGACGACCACCGCCATTGTTGCCGGGTCCTGTAGTTTCACGGTGAACTTCCCTGCAGGTTCAGATGGAACCCAAACAAGAAGACGTTTGCGGCGCGTCCGCGTAGATCTGCAAAGGGGATATCGGGGAGGGGTGGCTATCACCTATAGTTGTTTTTTCCTTGGCCTCTGCCAGACTTCTCCGGAAATAACCTTACGATAGCTCCCTCTTGGAGAGGCCATGACCTTTCCCTTGCCTCAGCATGGTTGAGGAAAATAGGTCTTTCTGAGTCTTTCTGTGACAACACAGTGGGCCCCTATGACTAACTTGCGACTCTCAAAGGAATCTCTTTGGTATTACAGAAAGTTCAGTTTCCACAACAATTCTAGGGGTTGATTCCTTGTCCATTCTTTTCAACCATCGTTCTGTTATTTTCCCCGGGTTTCCGGACGTTTCTAGAAAGAAAAGTCCCTGGAAAGAATGGACATGGAAGGTACCCCTAGAAGAATGTGTGTGTACGCCCCAAACGGGTCCCTCGAAATCGAAAAAAAGACGTCTGCTGCCTCATCCCGCCGCGTGCTGGAAGTCCAAGTGGATCACCTGCGTCTCGTCCAGAGCTCGGGGCGTCGTCCCTTTTGGCTGTCAACGGAATAGCAAGAGGGCCATATACCACATACTCAAAGGAGCACTGGTACTACCAGAAACAAACGAACAAATGAAAAACGGGCAGTGTACTTAGTAAGTGGATATTACCAGAAACAAACAAACGAATGAACAAACAAAGAAACAAGCAACACAGACAAACACAGAAACTTCGCAGTACCCTTTCCAACAAGCTGTGCAGTCCGGGATTGTTGGAAAGAGGGTCAAGCACAGTTGTGCTTGCTTGCGTTTGCTATTCCAGAACTACGTGCTCTATTCCAGAACAGGAGAAGAGACCTTCAAACTAAACATGTCAAGAAGAGTCGGACCTTCCTCCCTAAGTCAGAGCCTTGCCTACTATACGTCAGACTGATATGGAGATGGCCCAAAATTGGGTGGTTCTCCACATTTTACCAACCCTCGCCCGCACCACACGTGAGTCATGGCCGGTTTGAGCACAACCGCCACACTCCGCTTGCGCCAAATTGCCTTGTCGATGTGCGCCATGATCTGCGGATATCGCGACATGTCGAGGCCCTTCAGCAACGGCAGACCTCTGCGAATGGCGCACGGCACATATTCAGTCAAAGATTCCTCCAGTTGGACCTAGCGGTGTAATGTGCCATGTTGACCCTAGATTAACACACCGGTTTTGTATTTGTAGCGGGTGATCCCCTCCAAAAGTGGTATGACCCCCCACAAATAGGGCACACCCTCTAACAATCAACCAGGGTTTTGATGTAAAAACAAGTCTGGGATTCTCACTATATCCATTTGGGCTATGTATGTAGGACACTAGAGTGCTTGAGAAAATCTAAGTGTACCTGTCACGGTCGTACGCTGAAGGTCGTACCTGCCAAGAAAGAAAGTGGGGCGCCAACAGACTTTGCAAACAAAAGTGCTTGAACACACATTCGTTCTTACCAGACATCTTGCCTCCCCGACCTTTTTCCTCCGTCCCTTTGGGCCTCGTTTTTTCAACCTCTGGGCTGTCTGGTCTGGGGCTCCGGGGCCAAAGAGCTGGCGCAGGTGGCAGGCCACCGCGAAGTCGGCGATGGAGGGGTACCTCAGCCGCACGGCGGCTCAAAAACATGGAGACCCAAAGGCCGCCTTGGCTAGGTCCTCCAGATTCGAGAGGTTAAGATAAGGGTACCCTTCTTCTGTAGTCTATTTTAGTAGGGGAACCCTCCCCAAAAAAAGGGGGAGAAAGGGCACTACTGGGGGACCTAGTTGGCAAATGGAGCCAAAAACAAAAAATGCCTGGCCCTAGCTCTTTAATTTTGAGCCACACCCACAGGCCGACCCGTGTCATGCAGATGTTCGCGGGCTCACCTCTCTCCTTTTTGGGGAAGAAGAAAAAAACGCCGTTTTGGTTGGGTACCTAAGTCGAGTCACAATCAAAACCTCGGAAAATGATTAGATCTTTAAAAGGAAAATCGCCGGCAACCCGGGGAAACTGCCTTTTTTCAACATACCAAAAAAAACGGGCACCTAAGCAGGACCCAGAACCATGTAAGGAAGTACAAAGGCGGCCGCAGCTGTTTCTGGCTCGGATTCTCCCTTAACCTTCATCTGCCCGGGTTTTGATTGTGGCTCAAGTAGGGTTTGCCTTTGCCAAATGAACAGCCTCCCTTGAAAAGGGCTTCTAGACCAGGGGGGCTGCTTTTATCCCACAGCGCGAAAGGCAAACCTAAGTGCTACATTCTTTCCAGGGATCCTTACCAAACCTCTCAGGGAAACGGATCCCGGTTTTATTCGAAAAGGTTGGAGGTTGAAAAGGGATCCTTAGAAAACGAAACGGATCCCGGCTTTTCGGAATGGCTGAAAAGACTTGGGCATCAAATCCCGAGGAACTTCAGGCGATTCAGGCGCCGACCCGACGGAAAGGAGATCGCTCCATCTCTGGGCGGCTTTTTTGGGGGGAGCCCACTTTTTTAAGGTTGGGTGTTACTGTAATTGTTAGGAAACCAAAAGGAATCCCGCCCTTGGTTTCTTTGTGCCCTCTGAAAATTTTGAGAGCCCATGTTGGAGACAAAGGCCAAGACAATGAAAGATCAACAAGGGGCCCAAAGAGTTTGATTGCCCGCCAAAACGTCCAACGGGATTTCAATGGCCCACATCCCCGAAGGGTACTTGTATTGGGAAAGCGCGAAGCAAACCAAAAAGGAAATTGTGTGACGGGGTGTAGTGTTGTTGCAGGGGGGGGCGGAAACAGTTCCATGATTCATCATCAGCCACCCAAACCTTGGTAGCTTCTTGGATTTAAAGTCTCTTTTTGATTCATCATTTTAGTCAAGGGCGGAGATGCAAGATGGTCCCAGACGCTAACCCAGAGAAATAGACCAACTGCTTTGGGGGGTCACGCAATGTTGGTGCTCAAATAGAAATGTTTACAAATTATAAGAAGAAACAAAACAATGAAAAGCGGTGAAACCAACAATCTATACCCATAAAATCACGAATCATGTGGTTGACTATAGGGGGTCCGGCCCTCCTTCGGACCCTCCTATCCTCTCACCTGCATCTGGGTGTGACATCCTCAAAATTCGCTTCTGAATTGAGGATTGAAACTACCCGAACCCCTCCAAATCCGCACGACACAGCCCAATACCGTTTACAAACAAAGGCCTGTGGGGCAGAAGACCATTTCCTCTACAGGTTTTTTCTGGGTCCCATGTTGCGCTCTTACACCCAGTTATTTGTGTCCGCCATGATTGGTCGCTGGCAAGTTGGATAGAGTCCAAAGATTGGAACTTGGAGACCGAAAAACGTTTGATGCTTAAAGGGAAACCAAGGGGGCCAACTATTTTCAGGGCTCCAAAGTGGAACTTGAGGATGCTTCGATGTGGGATGTTCACGCCTTGGTCCGGCAGGGACTTTTTGATTCCGGGCCCCAAACGCAACACTTGGAGCACTGCCAAAGGGGAACCCCTGACAGGTTAAGTACCCTTGGTTTGGTTGGTTTCGTCCTCCTATTTGGGTCAGACAGATTCCCAACCCGCACTTCGTCATGGTGGTGCCGCTAAAAATCTGGACCAACATAGGTGGTGCACCAAAAACTCGGCCGGCAGGGTTCCATTTTCCGTTCCGTGTTTGATCCCTCCAATGAAGACGTAACCCAGCATTGGTCGAGATCTCCCGACATCTGGGTCATGACAGCCCCCTGAAAAAATAAGTAACAAAAATGATTCCAAAGACATGGAGTGGATGGAGGAAAGCCATTTCGCACCACCTCAGACCCCCTGCAATCATTCGATTCCCACCGTAAATAACGACAAACCTTCGGGTTTCGACTCCGTGGTTTCAACTCCGCGGTGCGAACAGATCTCGTCCAACACCGGGAGTTGTTGGTTTTTTTTGTGCCACGGCGCTTGGTCTTGGCCACCCACCCATAGGGCGCTTCTCGCAGCGCCCGCTCGAAGTGGTCCAGGTACCTGGGCAAAAAGACGCCATCGAGTCGGTACCTGAGGCAAGTGGTTCGTAAACCACTGCGTAAAGTGACAGGATATTTAGCAAGCCTGGTCAAAAAATCCCTGTGACCATGGATTAAGTGGGTGGGTAACCTCATGGTCACTAAGTGCCATGTACCCATGGATTATGTGGGTAACCATGGTTATTACCCACGGCACAACAAAAAGCCCCCCTGGTCCATGGCATCCAGACTGGCAATGTCGAACCCCCAGATGAACGTACCCCCATGGAACGAATGATTTTGTATTCCCACAATATTTTATATCTATTTGAACACCCCATAAATTTCCCAGATCCCCGGTGTTCAAAATGTTATTCGAATTTCCTGAATCATTTCCCAGAACTCCCGTCCCCATCCACCCCTCCGCTCGCCTCGGTGCCACGGTGTCCTTGGCGCTCTGCTGGGCCCTCTCCACGCAAGCCTCCAGGCCCAAGCCCAAGCGCTCCGGCTGCTGCAGGCAGGCGAAGGTGGCGGACCTCAGTGAGTCACAAGGAACAACGCGGCGTCTTCCAATCCTTAAAAGGACAACAAAACCGCCGGCAGCAACCTTTTGGGAAATTTGCCTGTTCTTAAAGCTCCGACCCCAAAAAACGGGTACCTAAGCGGGACCCAGAACCATGCTTCAAGAAGTAAGGCGGATATCCGCAACTATTCTGGCTGGGACTGCCCCTTACTAACCTTCATCTACCCGAATCGGTTTTGAGCACGTGGCTCACGAGCGACGGAGCGACGGAGCCGAGGGCTTTCAAGGTGACGGAGCCGAGCGGCGCCAACCATTCGGGGAGGGTATGCCTTGTGATGGAGGGAGGGAGGGGAGGGGAGGGGAGGGGAGGGGAGGGAGGGGAGGGAGGGGAGGGGAGGGGAGGGAGGGGAGGGGGAGGGGAGGGGAGGGGAGGGAGGGAGGGGAGGGGAGGGGAGGGGAGGGGAGGGGAGGGAGGGAGGGAGAGAGGGAGGGGTTGGATCCTGTGAATGGTTGCCATGTTGCCCTTTTCACTTCCGGGGTGGATTGGCAGAACTGCAACCAGACTGGTGGCTCACGAAGAAAATGATCTTCCCATCACATCGCGATGAAAGTCCAAACTGGAGAGGTGAGTAGTCTACCCAAACTCATGATGCATAGTCAAACGGAAACAAACGTGCGGTCGGCGCTCATCTCGTTGGGCCGGAAGTCCCCCCTACTAATCTCCACCTAGTATAACTGCCCTTGGGCGCTTCAAATAACATTGAGTCATGAAGAAAGGAGGAACACTTTGATTGTAAAACAACAAAACGAGATTGGTTGAACAAACCAATGCTTCAAGATTGCAGGGGTTTCCCCAACCCCCTACCCCATACCCTACGTCCAGACTGCTACCCCGAGGGTTTATCGGGCCAGGAAGTGGAGGACGTGCTGCTTTCTTGACCCGAAGGCTGTCACCGTGTGGATTCACCACTGCTGCTGACAAGGAGCTTGGTGATATGTGTTTTTTGCTTGCGATAAACGTGGTACGAAGCGGGAAGGAATACAATGACCAAAACACCCCAGTTTGTTTCCTGGTCGCTTGAAGCTGGATGTAGTTTAGTGTTGCAATCGGAAAGTACAAGCAAAGGTATTCAACACAAATATTCAGCAAGTTGCCGAAAAGGTGATGTCCAAGCTGGCCAGAACAAGCAAAGGTATTCAACACAAATATTCAGCAAGTTGCCGAACAGGTGATGTCCAAGCTGGCCAGTACAAGCAAAGGTGTTCAACAGAAATATTCAGCAAGTTGCCGAAAAGGTGATGTCCAAGCTGGCCAGTACAAGCAAAGGAATTCAACAGAAATATTCAGCAAGTTGCCGAAAAGGTGATGTCCAAGCTGGCCAGTACAAGCAAAGGTGTTCAACAGACATATTCAGCAAGTTGCCGAAAAGGTGATGTCCAAGCTGGCCAGTACAAGCAAAGGTATTCAACAGAAATATTCAGCAAGTTGCCGAAAAGGTGATGTCCAAGCTGGCCAGTACAAGCAAAGGTGTTCAACAGAAATATTCAGCAAGTTGCCGAAAAGGTGATGTCCAAGCTGGCCAGTACAAGCAAAGGTGTTCAACACAAATATTCAGCAAGTTGCCGAAAAGGTGATGTCCAAGCTGGCCAGTACAAGCAAAGGTGTTCAACAGAAATATTCAGCAAGTTGCCGAAAAGGTGATGTCCAAGCTGGCCAGTACAAGCAAAGGTGTTCAACAGAAATATTCAGCAAGTTGCCGAAAAGGTGATGTCCAAGCTGGCCAGTACAAGCAAAGGTGTTCAACACAAATATTCAGCAAGTGGCCGAACAAAGTGCAACGTCTCTGGAAATAGATAAATGGGTGATGTGTGGTTTGTTGAGAGGCTTTCCACCTTGGTTCAAATGGAAACCAACAGGAATACCACAAGTTTGTTTGGGGGGTCCCCTATTTTGACACATACTCCGGAAACGTCCTATCCTCGGAGTTGGTCCCCACATTTTGTGGTGAGGGTACCCATTCTAGGGCTTGTTTCAAAGATGAACCCAAAGGAAACCAGCCTTTGTGGAGGTCTGCTCCCTACTTTCCAAGACTCTAAAATGGTGATCTTTATGGCCTAAAGGGTGAGTCTTTGTGGTGAGGTCTTTACAGCTTAAAGGTTTCTGGTGGGTCTTTATGGCTTTTAAGTCTTATCTTCAGCCATAAACCAATCTGATCCCTCCGGAGGTCTGATCCCATGGCTTCACTGCGCCCGAGAAGACTTCTCGGCTCGGCGCATCTCGGCGCAGTCATCCATGACCGCGTCCACGCAGGCCGACTTGACCTCCCCGCTCGGCTGGGCCCAAATGGATTTATGCCCTTCTCAACTCTTAACTTCCCAAGTCATTGGTGGTCAGGCGGTGGTTTCTCATCTACCCTCTACAAGCAGCTCAACTCCCGCCATTCCAAGCCACCAACTAGGGGACAGCTGAACTGCTAGGCCCTAGGCCCAAAAAAACGAAAAACTTCTTGTTTGCCACTCAAGTGGCCCCAGCCCCAAACGCGGCAAAATCCGTGGATCCCCGTCCCGACTTCATTTCTGCGGGGCTCCCTACGCAAGTGCCAACCTGCAGCTCTACTGATGGACAAATCCGCGGGCGCCAGTTGGCAGGTGGTTATCACATTTTTGGTCCAGCACTATGCATAGGACTTCATCCATCCCCAATGCTGCGAAGTGGATTCTGTGCATCCACCGTGCGGATCTGGCTTTTCAGGGTGCAAGTTTTTGACTTTGCGGGTCTTGGCTTAAATGATGAAGGCACCTCCTTCAACAAGAGCTCGAAGTTTGCCATCTCGACCAAAAAGAACAGGAAAACCCACAGGCTCCCAAAGCAAAATTTATCCGGAAAGTTGGAGGAGTCCTTCCTTGACCTGGGCGGACCTTTTTCGGTAGAGTTTTCAAAGGCAGCTTCGCGGGGAAGCCACGGGTGTGTGTGTGTGTGTGTGTTGGGTGGGTGGGTGGTGGTGACAGGTGACAAAACCCTTATTATCTTGGAGCGTCGTTTTCTGACACCCCAGTTACCTCTCGGTTGTGTCGGAAAAACGACGGGGTCGGGCAGGCTTACATTTTTTGACTACCTCCAGGCAGGCTTAAACCCCGGGCTTCTCTGGTTTAAGTCCACCTTGGGGTCACAAATCAGCTTCCCTCTAAACAGTGGTTTGGATTGGTGGCTTGGAGCTTGGGTGGTCTCATTGATTTACCCGCAAGAGCCAAGGGTCAAATCCACATCCAAACCACCAATTAAGGGCTACCTGATTGAAAGTCATCCCATGTCGCGTCAACATAGAACCATACTGATGTCCCTTATCAGCTTTGGGGTCGAAACACCCTGTATAGAACAAAATGGACCCCCCACCCTTGGTGTTCGGTCAAGCTTTCAAGTTATTAATCACCTAGCTTATAACCTGCTTATAAGTCTCCCCAAGTGGAGTTCCCCTTGTTTTTGGTGGGTTATGCCCAGGCGGCCTTTTCCAACTTAACTTGGCGAATCGAACATCCAAGTAGAGTCGGCGGGAAATAAAAAAAAAGAGGACAAAAAAGAACAAAGAAGAAAAACAAAAACGCAGAAACAAACAACAAAAACAATAACTATAGTAACTATATTAGTAATAATAATAATTCATAGTAATAGTAGTAATAGTAAACATGATGGTCATAATAGTAATAACAGTACTAATAATAGTAATCATAACAACAATAGTACTGATAATAATAACACTCATAATAATAACAACCATAATTGGACCATAATAATGATACTAATAATAACCAACAAAACACAAATAAAAAACACATCCCGTTCCATGGCGCAAGCGCAAAGCGTGCGCTTCCCGCCCGAGCACCCGAGCGCCCCCGCGACCCGAGGGTTCCCATCCGAGGCTCTGGATCCTCAGGGTAGAGGCCGCAGCTGCCGTGGGACAACTTGGCCACGTACCGCAGGATCGCCTCCGCGACGAGAGATCCGAGATCCCGATCCCCCCCTCCCCCCCCGAAAATAAAGGGAAACCGCTTTTGGTGCATTTCCGGAAAACCCCCCCCCCAAAGTATAAGACAAAAAGGTTAAGGAAATTGATTCCACCAGCAACGGTTCCAACAGCTGAGCTTTCTCTTATGTCCAAAACCCAAGTACTCTTCAAAAAACAGTTGTTGGGGAGGGGGGGAAGCAGCTCTCTTTCTTTCTTCAGAGTCAGAGGTTCCCTTCTATGACCGAAAGGTAGTGCAGTTTTCGCAGCCAGTGACCCAGGAACAAAAGGGAACCCTTAATTTTTGGCCGAGGCTGACTCCATTTTAAGTTGGGTAGCTACCAGTGGGTACAACAATCGAACCATATTTGTCTGGCCGATTCCACTGATAGCGGGTATTGAACCCACCGAACAATAAGGAAGCTTAAGGATGCTATGGAGCATCTTTGCGAAGCTGGATGAGAATTCCGACAAACTGTTGGGTGCGGAGCTACGAATAAAAGGGCCCCAACCGTTTTTTGGACATCGGCGTGTTCATGAATTAAGACTGCGTCCTGGGTCCATGTCCAAGTTGTGACACTGGATGTGATTTGAGCAGGGCTGTAGGAAATGACCACTTCTGTGATACCCCAAAAAGAGCCTCCCAAAGACTAACCCCCCACATAAAAGGGGGATTCCCTCGTATCACAGAAGCGGTTGGATAAACCCCGAGCGATCCCACAGCCCTGGATTATTTGGGTATGAGTCAAAATTAAACCACCAGGGGACCGCAGGTTTTAGTCCATGTTTCCATTTACCAGGATTCCATTTTGGGTATATATTTTTCACCCACAGCCATTTGAGAGGTTTAAAACTTCCTGGTACCCTCATGGGAAAGCTCCACGCTGGGAATTCAGAGCCACGAGATTGGAGAGTTTGTTTTCCGTGTCCTGCGCCCCTTCTTGTTTTTAGGGTACCCATGTGTTGTGCTTTCAGACCATGGAAAACGGCCATTTCTTTTTTTTGGGGGTCTCCTAAAAAATGGCACACCCACCATGGATATACAAAACAGCATTTCTTTGCACCGAATTTGAGAGGCCCCAGCCCATAACCTTCACTTCGCCCCAGATTTCACCCATGGACTTTTGGTACGGTTGTAAAGGCAAATGTGGGGGGGGGGGGGGCCTTTTGTTGAGGGAATCCGCTAGGGAAACCGGGAAACCACAAGCCCCCCCTCAAACGGATGCTTTGAAACGAAAAACCTGCACGCGTTTTTAGGGGGTCTCCCAACAAAAAAATGGAAACACGCACGGAACCAGGCAGTTGAACCGCCCACTCAAATGGCCCCTTTTGGGAATCGGACGTTGGCGGCTGACCAGAGGTGACCTTTTGGTTGGAAATCGATGGGTCTCCCTGGTAGAATGGGGCATAAAATCAATCTAAACCAGTGGAACCCATCTATTTCGAACCACGCTACAGGACACCCGGTGGTAAAATGGGGCATAAAACCAATCTAAGTGAACCCATCTATTTCCGACGCTCGTTTTGAGCGACTAGTGGAACGTCTCGCCAAGTCGCATTCACCTGCGAGAGTTGGAACTGGCCGTCCACTACCAGCACCTGAGACTTGGAGACCCAGCGCGCCCAAAAACAAAAACAAAAAGAGAAGAAATGGGTATGGGTGGGTCAAAATTAAACGACCGGGGGACCGCAGGTCTTGGTTGTTTCGATTTACCAGGGTTTCATGTTGGGTACCTTTTTTTGACCCATACCCAAAAGTGTTCACCTCGGGCCCAGATCCTTAGGATCGAAATCTGCTTTTGAGGCACCCCTGCAGGTTCCATGTTGCGAGTGAGGTGGGATTTTTCAAGAGAAAATGATAGAGTAAGACCAACCGATGAAACCTCCAGAACCATCCTGCTCAGGACTCGCCGTAAACTCAAGATGCGAAAGGAAAAGATTAAACATTAAAAAAAAAAAAAAAAAAAAAAAAAAAAACAGATGTCTATGTACAGTTCTATCTGTAAAACCCTTGACTTCTTATCTCCGTATGGTTCCCCTTTTTGGTGGCTTTAGAGGGAAACCCAACAGGAAAACCGCCATATTTCTATATTTTTTGTCTCGGCAAACACAAGACACATAAATTATCTACCCCGAACTGGGTTCTGATGATCTTTCAGAATCGCGGAGAAACCTTGACGTCACTGAGCCCAGCCAAAACGCCTCAGGGTGCCTCATTCCCCAGAAGTGTGTTCTCCCTTTAATCCTTCAAACACGGGTTGCTCTTTTTTGGTCGTTTGATTCCGGAAGCCATCAAACAAGGAATTTCGAGGATGTGCCGCTTGCCATTCTTACACGTCTCCTTGCTGGGTTCTGACCAGGCTTACTAACCACTTACCAAGTCGAAGAATGAGCAGCGCCCACCGTTGACTGTTGGTTCTACCAACACGATTAGGAAAAGGCGTATCTAGCCCTTCCTATAGCCCATATGACCACCACCCAAGCGGCCAGCTCGGAAAGTAAGTTGTAGCTGGTTATAGCTAGAGTAGCTGGGTTGGTCTCCTTGTAACCATGGTCATATATCCTACTTAAGTTGGGTTAAGCATCCAAGTACAACCACCTATGGCCCCTGTGAAACCAGGTAGAACCACCACCTAGCCGGCCCAATGGGTTTTTTTCTTCGGGCACTCCAACGCTCCCCCGAAGGATCTTTCCAGCGCCCACCTGAACCGTGGTTGTAGCTAGAGGAGCTGGGCTTGGTCTCCTTGTAACCATGGTTATACCGCCGAAACGGCCCAATGGGTCGGTCTTTTTCTTGGGGCGCTCAGTATATAGCCCTTCCTATAGCCCATGTGAAACCAGGTAGAGCCACCAGCTAAACAGCCCAAGCGCCCTGGTAGTAGCCCACCTGGTTTGGAAGAACCGCCATGTTTCTTTAGGGCCACTCCAGCGCCCTGCCCCCCGCCCCTTTCAAGCAGCGGCGCCGGCAGCGGCGGCAGCTCGCCCCGCAGCAGCATCTGCTGGCACTCCTCGGGGCTCAAACGCCGCTCCTCGTAGCTCAGCCCTGCGGCACTGCGAAAGACGCGCGGAGAACCGGACATTCGGAGGCTTCCAGTACACGTTGCACATCGACCATTATACAAATGTTTACATATATATATATATATACTTACAAATATGTATAGCTAGATGTGAATGTAGAAAAAACTATATATATATATATATATATGTTCCAGTTCGCAGGCCGCCTACCCCCCCAAGGGTAGGGTTCCCCCCTTCCCCGCATCATCTGCATCATGGGCATGATGTGGCGGATGCTGTCCAGCACCGTGTGCCCTGCAGCTCCGGTCCCCACCCCTTTCAACCCTGTGAACCCGCAGCACCCCTCGCCCACGAAGCAACATCCTAAACACATCCTAAACCAACCCGAAGCCACTCAACCAGCACAACCCCTAAACCAACAACCCGAACCCCAAACCCACCCTAAACCCACGGTAAACCAACCCGCACCCCAACCACCCAACCGGAGGGGAGGGGGGGGAAGTTCACGGCTAAGTATTAACATTTATTACACGTGTATCTATACATATCCTTTAAAGTATACGTCTTCCCCCCTTGCCACAAGCCCCCGGCATCGAAGCGCATCGAACATCGTCGCCGCCTGCATAGCTCAGCGCAAGGCGCAGGGCCTCCGCGCCCGGGTTCTTGCTCTCCGCGCAGGCGAGGAGCCGCATGTGGTGCGGCAGGAAGGCCATACCTTGGGCCATTGAGCCATCGAGCCATCGAGGTTCGGTTTTCAGGCCCGGGGATCAGCGATCGTTGCGATTTCTGTAGGGAATGAGACATGGACTGAACCCAGGGAGGAACTTGCACGGCGGAACTGCAATGGGGACTCCGGATCTGGTTGATTTTGATCAAAAGGTGTCCAATTCCTGTTGGGGCTTCAAAGCACTTTCAGAGGTGCCCCGCCTTGCCGGTGAAATGGAGAACGAACCCCGGGTTTTTGGTCCCAGAAAAAGGACGCCGCCAGTTGGATGGTTTATGGATGGCCCAATTTCCATTTCTCATTCCCTGCCATCCCGCTTCAAGAGGCATTGAAGGGGATGAAAGTTGGGCCCCGGCGTTTTCGAGAAAAAAACCCATCCCCACTAAATGAAGTTTTTTTTGTTTTTTTCGTTGGCTTTTGCGTTGTTGTTTTTTGGTTTTTTTTTGGGGGGAGGGGAGTTTAGGATCACTTAGGACGTAAAAAAGGGGCAGGTACTTCTCGGGCGAACTTACTACTGGACCTTTGTTGGTGGTCATTTCGGGTGCCGGACCAGTACCAACCAACACCGGTTTCAACCATGTTTCAAAGTGGTGCATTTCGTCCATCCACGGCATTGGTTTGCTTTGCGCTTGGTCTTGGCCACCCATATGGGCGCTTCACAAAGGGTGCTTGAAGGGGCGATCAGGTACTTAGTAAGTGGTTGCTGTGGTGCATGTTGCTTTGCCAACTAGTGGGTTTTCCATTATTAAACCACTAAAAGTTCAACTTTCAGCAGGGGAGCAGAAAGTAACCGAGGTTAGTAAGCCTGGTTGCAACCCACGACTTACAACCATGGCTTTTGTGGGTCTCACCGGGCTTACTATCCAGCATCTAAATACCATGCCCCCTTTAAGTATGGTTCAACCGATTTCCATCAACCATGGTAGAGGAGCAAAATCCTGAACGGCCAACAATGGCGGTTATATGAACCCAAGCATGGTTTCTTTGGTGGTTGGTAACCCTCACAATTCACCCTCTCCCACTGTTGACCCCTTGTAGCAAGGGTGCAGGGGGAGTCATCATTCCAGGCATTCTTAGGTGGTGCAGGACTTCTTGCATCCACAGTATTTTGGAACCACAGGAGAAACCAGGCTTTGGACCGCAACTCGTCAAAGGGCACAACCCAGCGAACTGTTTGTGGACTTGTTTGTTTAGAAGCGAACTGGGGAACAAATGCGCATTGAACAGGGAAAGAGCAGCACTTTCGATCCATCCCCGCGAGACCACTTTATCACTTTACCGAGGATGGCCTGCCCTACGGTTAGGAAAAGAGAGGGAGAGCCCGCATTGAATGTTGGAGGACTTGGGGGAGAAAAAACACATGTTCCTCTAAGGACCCAAGCCCTCCGTTTTGGTACGGCTTGGTTTGGACCAAGAGTGGAAAACCAGGTTTGGGGCATTTAGAGGCGGGTGAACGTTCAGACGCTGATAACCGTGTGTCCGGAAACTGCCTTTGGACTCGTGGATTGGCTGGGCTGACCTTTACTTTCCCCAACAAATCGGAGGTCTCCAACGTCCAAGGAAAATCTACCTGGCGGAATTTGCAAGGCTCCCAACCCTCGCTGTCTCCTTGCAGCCTGCCACGGCTACACAATGTCTCTATGAACTGTGAAGCCAATCGCAAAGGAAGCAAAGGACACTTTGGGTGGCCTAGTTGGGCAGGTTTCCCTTCCAAGGGTTTGGGCTGGGGTTCTTTGCAGTCCCTTTGAACCCTCCTGAAAACGAGCATGGACACTGGGGGGACCGATGGAAAATGGGAACCAAGGGGTCCCTTTCAGCTTCCATCTTTGCTTTTTGGGCAGGTAGGCGATGGTGCCTTGAAGGGGACTTGATGTTTTTCAGACTAGTTGGGTGTTCGGCCAAGTCAGTAAATTGTTATAACCCACCGTTCAGTGGAGTTGACCTTGTTATAACTGGGTTATCAGGTGTCCTTTTCCACTTTCTGGCTGCAACGATCCAAGTCTAGGTCCTCCAGTACAGAGGTTAGACTAATTTGGTACCCTTTTTTCTGTGTGTGTGTGTGTCTATTTTAGTAGGGGAACCCTGCCCCAAAAAAGAAACCGGTAAAAGCTGGCACCTAGCTGCAGGAGCCAGGCTGAGAATCCCGTCATCTGGAAAGGCCCCGAAAACCCACTGCCGACCCGACCACCGAGGCACGGCTCCAGGGCCAAGTGGGCGCCCAGCGCTGGAACCAGGACCTCTGCGGCCGCGGCGTCGCCTTCCTACGTCGGTGCTTCGCGTTCTCTCCAAACGGCCGGGGATCGGTGGCTGGAAAAGTTGACGCTTCGTGTCTCCGAACCGAAAACCTGGGGATTTCGGTTCAAACTGGGGGACTTCCATTCGCTTTGTGCCCTCCAAGCCTTGTTTGTTCCCGGTCGCGCAAGGCATGGAGGTCACAAACCAGGCGCAAAGAGGAATCCTTTGGGCCACAGTTGAAGGAGCGACCAGGAGAGTAGATGGCACAATTCAATCGTGGTTGAGTGAAGGGGATCACTACACCAAAACGGAGGTTCCCCTTGGTTAGCTTTGTTGGGAGTGACCAGGGTGTTGTCATCCCTTGCGCTCCTCAAGATCTTTTTGGGAGCACCAACCTTTTCGTGCCTGCTGCAACCATGGTTCACTGTCTGTGATCGTGCCATCTTTCAACCAACCGCACAACTCTTTTGTAGGTTCTTCAGTTGGAGCCCTCACCGCCACACTTTTCCTCGGTTGCGAAATCTGCTCCCCCGCTAAAAGCTTAACTTTTAGTAGCTTAATACGGAAAACCCAGTAGTTGGCAAAAAGGCAAAAAGTCCTAACATCCCTTGGCAGAATGCACCAAGGTTTCGGCGGTTGCTCCATCACTTCGAGTGGTCTCGGTGGCACCCCCGCCCCCCCCGGCCTCCGCGTCTTGGCCGCGGGCCGCTTTAAGGCGGCGGGCCGCTTTGCGGCCCGCGCAGCCCGCGGCTTGGCTTTGGGCTTCGGCTTGGGGCGCTGCGCCGCGCGCTTTGGCATGGCGGAAGGGCGAAGCTGGGGGGCGGGCGGCAAATTCAGCCTGGTTAGAACTAACCCACTGAACGGAGACTTGTGACCATGGCTTTGTTGGGGGGGGGAGGGGGGCAAATTAAGCCTGTTGAGATAAGCCACTTAGAAAACTTATGACCATGGCTTTGGTGGGGTATAACCATTGGTTATGACCCACTTACTAAGTACAATGCCCCTGAAAGTATCGTTCATACGATTCCCATGAAAGAATGGTGGACAATCCTTACAGAAACAATGGTGGTAACAGGAACCCCCATTTTTTTGATGGTTTCAAGCCCAGGGGTACACTCCCACTTTTGACCCCTAGCAATAAAAGGGGTCGGGGACCCCAAATAACTACCAACAAAGGTCTGCTAGTAATTTACAACGAAGCAAAAACTGCTTGCCCCCAGATGTGTTTTTTTGAAGACCTGGGGGTGTTCCCCCAAACATGAGCGAGTCCTTACTAACACCTTACCAATGCTCTCATTTGACCAACGCCCATTGCTTTAGCACCTGGCTGGGGCCCCTTGCGCCTGGGTGTTTGCGTAGCTTTTAGTCTCCAATTCTGGAAGCGTTCTGCTAAGAATAGGCAAGCGCAATCCGGCCCTGTGACCCTAAAAGGGAAAGGAGAGTAGCCCAAACGGGGCCAGAAGCACTTCCTCCATGTTTGTTAGTGGGAGGCTACCCTGAACTGACCGTTGCAAATTGGTTCAGAGTCGTGGGCTGAATAAGCTGTCTGGCGCTAAGCGTTCGAGCCGCTTGGCTCCTGCGCGCGCCTTATCTGGCATCTGGGGAAATTAACTGGTGATCCGCCTACCCCAAATGAGAGGTCGCAATTCTCGCAGCTTTTTGGGGCCTGCTCAAGCCAGTTATAGGGTCCCTCCGAAAGATGTTCCGTCCAAAGGGGCAAACCCGGCAAATCCTACATGAAAACAAAAAAACGTCTTCTTGGACTGTCATGTAATTACCTTTGAAGGTGTTCCCCTGGCTCCAAAATATGTATGACCCACATGTGCAAAATATATATATATATGTATGTATGTATATGTATCTGTATATATATATATATGCCCAGAGCACGAAAAGCTGCTGTCTTTTTGACAGCTGTGATTTCGAAATGTGTTGCTGCAGCGCTACATCCAGTGCACCTCGCTTAAAATGGGCGCACTTGACGATGGCAATTTCTGAGGCCATCATCATACCGAAATGAAGGAATTCAAATGAAATGCAGCACCATAACCGTTCAAGGCCAGGGCTGGCAACGGGGGAAAACAGGAAAAGCTTGAGAGTAAATTGCGGGCGTATCCCAACCGCCTTCAATGGGATTAGGGACCTTGGAGGTGGTACAATCCAACTGATGCTACTGTCCTACGCCCAGAGCACGAAAAGCTGCTGTCTTTTTGACAGCTGTGATTCGAAATGTGTTGCTGCAGCGCTACATCCAGCGCACCTCGCTTAAAATGGGCGCACTTGACGATGGCAATTTCTGAAGCCATCATCACGCCGAAATGAAGGAATTCAAGAGACATGCAGCACCATAACCCATTCCGATGTGCAATCCAGGCTCTGGTAGAAACCGCTACTTCAGTCGGGTATTGATAACCGATACCAGTCTTTGCTTGGCCTTTTCGACTTGGCTCTTCCGGCGCGCAGGTACAAACTTCCAAGCTCGTTGCAGAAGGCCATGCTTTTCATACCTGTTGACAGAGCCACCTGCCCCGCTTTTGAATGGTCCGTAGATCTCGTCGCCGGTGACAAGCATCGTTGCTAGCACTACTGTGTCGGACTATGTGAGGGAGGACCACCGGAGACGAGTACTCAAGCAGCCCACGTGTGTTATGCAAAATCCGCTCATACTGAGCTAAGCTGATGCTCGGAAACAGGCGATGCTCTGTGTACTTGTGCAAGTAGTTCATCACTTGCGTCATCCATTTCCGTTCTGGAAGATCCCCCAGAAGGATCGAATCATCCGCCTTGCCAGTTTTCGAGCAAGCTTGCATCTCTGCAGGAAAAAAGCACCACTGCCCAACAAGGACACCGGCGCCCACAGGTTCCACCACATTGTCCCATGTCAGCCCGATGGCTTCACTAGGTCTAAGGCAACCATCAAACTGCAGACGGAGAAGGCACATGAAGTCCAACCTTGACTGAGACAGCTGCACCGCCACATCGAAGACCAGCTCCTCCGGAACTGGCAGCTGCATAGACCCAGGCTTCAACTTCCGCCAACTGGCCAAAGTTTCCTTGGCATTCGGCAAAAAGAGAGCCTTTGGGATATCACATTGCAGCAGCTGCAGACCATAGATAAGATAGGACCCAACTCTAGGCTCAGCCCCTTCCCGCTCATGCATGTAGGTCATGTACTTGACAACCATAGCGTCCAGGTTGCCCTTGTGCGCTCTCAGCTTCTGCCGCCTCGCCCATGTATGAAACCCGCTATCTGTCGATGATACTGATCCAGAGTCTTCTGTGTAACCCTGGAGGCTTGCACGCGGACAGAGGATTCTGAAGGTCAACCAGAGGTGGCTTCTTCGGCTTTTGAGGCTTGAGGGTGTGCACCTTTGAAGTTCCCACCGCCAAGTCGACGGGCTTCCTCCTTAGTGTGCTGGCCGCAGACAACCCCCTGGCATCCTCGGCAGCGATGGAGTCGGTGTTCTTGAACCCCTCCGCATCCACATCTTGTCTCCTTCTGTGAGAGGCTTCTCGGAGTTGCCGATCGATCCAGCCATTGTCCTCACCATTTTCTTCAAAGAAGGAGCCCTGGGCCAGCGAGACTATCTTGCTGGTCCACGCCTCCACCAAGGCCTTTGAGTAGGACGTCTGGCCAGCGCTAAAAGCTCAGGTCTGTTGGTGAGGATTGCTGTGCTTACACGCAAGCATCAAAAACGACTAGATAACAACGAGGATCTCTGAGGAGCTCGGCAATGGGATGAAACTTCCAGAGCAGGGACCCCCAGGAATTTTCCAGTGTAAACGCAATATTCTTCTCCAAACAAATGCGTATCAACACTGCAGAAAAAGCTGCTAGCTGTACCCCCAGAAGCTCCCGACCTCCAGCCCGAGCCACATTCTTGATCGCATGTCGAGCGCGGCTCCAAACCGTGCACGGTGTGCCCAGGTGCAAAAACCAAATAAGTGACATAGAGACCAGTTGTATAATGAGTTGCTGTGTGGAAATTCGTGAAAGGTCATGATGGGGTCCATGATGCAAATCCAATGCTGTCAAAGTGCGAAGCCCTTTACGTTGAAGTGCCGCTGATAAACCCCCTGCTCCAGCAAAGAGTTCCAAGCAATGTTTGTGACCAGGTTGAAGGGAAACAGGCGCAACCAAGGGTGTTGAGGGAGTGGATCCTTGCTCATAGGAGTGCGCAGTGACATGTCTGCACAAGATTCCACTATCACCAGATGCCCAAGTCTCACGCTTTCTCCCAGGGTCGAAGGCCCGGGATGGGCCGTCTGCAACATTGCATTGCGTGCGTACATGCCGGATTCGCCATATAAATCTGCATCCAAAAACGTATCCACATGCTCGTCTACAGAGGTTATTCAACAGCATGGATGATGACCGACCCTTCTCATAGCTAAACACCGTAACCAGGCTATCACCCAAAGAAAACACCATATTGCCCATATTGGAAACACTGCGTGCCCACCTTCGCAACCCCATCAACAAGACTCGACCCTCCTTGCCATTGATGTGCTCTTTTGCAAACTTCCAACGGCCTGACGAAATCAGTGTCCATCGGCTGCTATCATGCCACACATCACGGACTGGAGGGTGAGAGACCGCCTCCCCAAACAACTGCTGCTTTTTGGCTCGCATCTTTCTGGGCTCTGAAGATTCCATCCGCTGCCGCAATTCACGTCTATAGCCAGTGATAACACCCAGCGAAGGCTGAGCAGAATGGCCATAGGAACGAAGGTCACTCATCGCCTCCTCATCATCTCCAAGGATGGCAGCGCGTTCGTCCAACCGACCTTCCAAGAACCGCCACTTCTCTCAAAGCCTGACCTCCTTGCCAATCTCTGCAGAACTGGCCTTGGTAGACATCAGGGCAAATCCGTAAGTTGAGGAGTCACCCAAATGCACTGTCTCCGATCTAGGAGCTGTAAGCTCATGCTCCACCAGAAACACCAAGCCCGTAATCTGTCGCAGCTCCCGTCGAACGTTAGGCCACATAGGAGCCCGCCGCCCCAGGTGCATAGCTGAAAACTTGTAAACTGCAGATAGGCAAGAAAGCCCCAGGCGGTTCAACTGGAAAAAGAAGTTGGTGTGCCCGAGCCACACTCGAAGCAAATCGCCCGACACCCGCTTCCTCTTTAGGATGGCCTTGGTGGACAAGTAGCCGCCATGCTCTCGAAGTCTTATTCCTTATGAAGACCCTGGAGCCAAAGTTGAACTGAAGCCCCAATGACTCCACTTCTGCCTGTCCAGCTGGGTCCGTGATCTCAAAGGGGATGCCAATGCAAAGCGCTGCGCAATGCCATTCATCGTGGCATCAACTTGATCAGAGCTGGCCCCAACCACATTGACGTTGTCCACATAGACGCCAACCACTGGGCCAGAACGAACATCCGGGCAAGGAACCTTATCGCGAAGAAAACGGTCGCCTGCCAATCCTGAACCCAGCTGCGATTGGTGAACCACCACCTCGTTAGCCAAGAAAAGGGCCCAGGACCAACCCATGGCCATGCCACCAAAAGCAAACCAAAGCTGCTCGTGGTCTAAAGGTTGGACAAAGCCCCCCAGCTCATCATCATAAATTGGACCAACGTTGAAACCCAGCTTCCTGAGGTCAGACACCGATGCCCTATCATCAGTGCAGAAATATGATGCCAAAGGTGCCACCGTAAAAGCAATCCCCCACGTCACCTGCGGACATGGCAAAAGCCGGAAGCTCCATGACCTCACAACCCCATCCACGAAGTCGGCGAAATCCAAGTCCATGAAGCGCGAAGGAGTGCTAAGTTGCGTACACGGTGGTCTCTTTTGCTTGGCGTCCGCATCACGAGCATCCACAATCAATCGCTGCATTCCATCCTTCTTGGCAACTGTGAAGAATGCCACCCTCCCTTTTCGCCGCCGTCTGAAGAATCCAAAGCCCTGTGCAGCTCAAATCTGCGGCCCGAATCTGATCGCAGACCAGGATCCCAGTAAGGCTCCACTGGATCAGGACCGTTGACATCCGCCTCCAGCTCGGCAGGGGACTTCTCGATGAAGTACTGGTAGTTCTTCAAGTAGATGCTAACCTCAGGTGGCAGAAGGTCTTCCGCAGGCTTGACACCCAAGCGCCAGTCCGTGGCAACTAAATGAGCAGCCTCCTGTGAATACAGGTTTGCCGTCATCTGCTGAAGGGCCGTCAGCATCTAAGTCAGGCGGCCCTCCATGACTTGCAACCCTCCTCCATACATCCTTCATGATCCATTCTTGCACGGAAGTCAGTGGAAGGTGTGAATTAGCTGTCTGAATCTTGAAGGAATGATCCACCCGCTGTCGCAGCTCTTGCACCGGCCCACCCTCCGCTGCGCTGCCCAGGTCAAACGGGGCAAAGGAAAAGGGTCCCCATGCTTCCGATCATCTGCTCGGAACCGAATTCCGAAATCACTCCATGCATCAGCCATGTTGAAGAGGTCGACGAGGAAAGAGATCCCCGCCAGCCCCTCCGTTGGCAGCAAGGCTACTTGTTCTGGCCGGCTCCATGGGAGCCGGATGCACCATCCTCGCCGCCCTTGCCTTTCCCGCCTTTCTTCTTCTTCTTGTTGGCTTTCTTCCGAGAGTCACCCGGTCCATCATCTTCGGAATCGTCATCAATGTCATCCTTGCCTTTGCCACCACGGGTCTTGCGCTCTTGTCGAAAAAGGCGCTCCTGTTTCCAGATGCTTGCACGCTCTTTCAATCTGGCGGACACCCACTCATTGAACTTGCTGGTGGATGCACGGCCGTCTGGAAGAGTTGCCGTACCGGCAACAATGTCAAGGCCAGAATAGTCCGGCATCGACGGCGAACGCTCCACCGCGAGCTCCGTCTGAATCACCCACCTGCACAGCGTCTCGCCTGCTGCTAAGGAGCAGGAATGCAATAGCCTGAGCACCTCGCACAAGTTGCGATGCACATGGGCCGAGGAGCTTCGACCTGAAACCCCTGACAACCGCAACCACTCGGCATGGTAGCTGAGGAAGTTACGAGGGCCAAGGGCCACACTCTCGTGCAACTCCTTCGAAGATCGGGTTCCGGCAATCGGGAACTCCTTGTCCTCGGCATTGTGCATGAGGGCCACCGCTGCGCCAAGTTCCAACCGCCGCTTGCCAGCATTGTCACGGTGGTCCCCCAACAAACGGAGGTCCCCAAGCTCCTTGCCTTTCTTGGCCAATCCTCCAGATCCCGCATGGAGATCTTCTCAACAAAGAGCTCCTCATCCTCGCGAAGAACCACCCCTTTCGAGGTGAAGCCAACACCTGTCGCTTCCGTAGCCATGAGCTGGGCATCAATCACCTCCCGAAAATTGGGATGGGAAGGATCAGCAACAACCCAGCCCACCGAATCCAGCTCATCAACGGCTCCCTCTCCCAGGATAGCTGCCATGACCTGAGACTGCCGCTTGTAGTTCAGAACCGAAGCCCGTCTCGATGTCCTGGGGAAAGGGCATGCATCTGTCCAGAATTCGGTGAGCCTGAGTGGCCAGGTTTTGGCGTTGGAATTCGAGGTCGGGTGTCAACGTGATCCAGCATCCACTCGGTGAAGCAAGATCCTATGGTGCCATGTCAAACCATTGGGGTCATGCGGATATGACACTAGACACTTGCACTTCCGGAATGTCCAGAGTCAGAGCCATTGAGTCGCCGCTTCAGGTCTGAGGGTCGCTTTGGTAGTCGTCGCCACACTTGTTGGCGACTGGCTTGAATCACTGACCGCTCCAGTCAAAGTCGGCAGTTCCAAGGCTGGTAGCTCAAGTGTCAGCTTTGGGGTCCTAAACTTTGGGAATAGCACCACTATGACCAGACCAAGCAAAGCCACAGCCAGCAGACGGGCGAACCACCGCCACCAGAAAAGTTCCCAGTCACAGCCTGAACAACTACCTTCCAGCTGTTGAACCAGATGCCGAAGTTGCGCCACTTCCACTCGCAAAAGCTCAGCCTCTGCAACTGCCAGCTGAGATGTCGAGGGACGACGCCAGTCCAACACTGCAATCAGGCTGACGACCCAACCCAAATGGCTCCACCACATCAATCACCAAAAGGAAAACAGGAAAAGCTTGAGAGTAAATTGCGGGCATATCCCAACCGCCTTCAATGGGATTAGGGACCTTGGAGGTGGTATATCGGTATTGCTTGTGAGCTGTTATGTAGCCAATTGGGCGATGGATTCCCTGTCGGGGTAGAACCCTAGGCGTCTTTTCGAGATTTGGGGCCCCGAGATTCGACGCACAGGGACTCCGCAAGAAGAGACTCGCCCTCATTGGCATGGGTCAAAAATCCATCGGAGCGCTTTAAACGCCACGCCTGCCCTGCAAGGACTCTTTCTTTCACGTCTTGAGGGGCGCCGGAGGCTCAGGTCCCGCAACTCGGCTTGACTAGGCTCAAGAGATAAGAGGGTTATAGCTGAAATTCCAGGGGCTCCTCGCCCTCCCGAGATTCACATGTTCAAGGCGATCATGAAATGAAGAAGTGGGTGTCTGGTTTAGAAGGACGCTCGGGATTCTAGTTCGTTTAAACAAAACAACAACCCTTTTTTGAGGAGTGGTCCTATTTTTAGACACCCCAACTGTCTCCTCCAAATGTTCAAACTTTTTGGACTGTAGTCTTCCAAGTAGGAAAATTGAATCAAGGAAAATAACTTGAGTGGCCAGAACAAGTCCCGGCTGGTTGCCTCTCAAGCCCTGAGCAAACGGTCTTAGACCCTTTTGCGGCTTTTGCCGCAACAAAGTCATTTGTGCCTGTCTTTTTTTGAGGGGCACCTTTCAAAAGGGAAACAACTAAAAACCACTCTTGTTGGGGGGTCCCCGATTTTGTGGTGCGTGTCTTTTTCGAGGGCACCTTTGTAAAGGGAGAGGCAACCCCATTTGTTTCCAGGTCCTTCGACGCCTGGAACCCGAGGCTGGCACCGGCAAGGCCGGCATGCCCATGCTGCCGCGGCGGCCTCGGTGCGGTGCAGACTTTCTCTTTTTTCCGGCGGAAACCGGACTGCCGGCGGCTCAACATTTTGGTTTTTTGGGGGCCCCAAGCCCCAGCTTGAAGAGCCTAGGGCCTGGTAACAAGGCTCTGGCTCAAACACATGGCGTTCTTTTCTGCCCCAAGCCCCAGTTTGTAAGCGGCAACAAGATGGATGGTGGTCCCTGAGCAAATTGAGCCACATCCATACGTCAAGAGCAAGAAATGGGCAATCACGGGGTGACAGGGTTGAATGGGTTCTAACTAATACGGTGCTTTCGGATGCTAAGCACATGATCTGGCCTTAGCTGGAAGCCGTTAGGATCCGCTTGGAGTCCCAAAGAAGGAAGCCTTCAATTAAAGCCCACGCCCAACGAAAGGAACAGGCACCCAACGGAAGGAACTTTCATCAGCGAGGTCGCCCTGGTGCAGTGATGAGGAAATCACCCCATTTCGGGCTAGCCCTTGTCTGCCTGTAATCCGCACCCCAAGCAGTAGTTGCTTTACTTCACACACACATTCAGTTTTTGGAGAACCAAGTTGAACACTGCGTGAAGGTCAGTGCAGGATCCTCTCTTTCCCCTAAGGCTTCAAAGCTCAAACTTTTACTTTGGGTCACCAGTCACCACCAAACAAAAACGCATCCAAGTTTGAACGTCGCAGAGTCAAAGCCTCGCAAGGGGCTTCGAGCCTGCTCTATGTCGAGCCCGCGAAATCGCGAAATGCCAAATTTCAAACGCCTTGAGGTTGCCGCTTTTTGCGAGGAACGCTCCGAGTCGGAAAATCAGATATCCCATGGGATATCCCCAACAGAAACCAAAACACTCCAGGGAGGTGGGAAATGACCACCTCTGCGATACAACAAAAAGGCCTCCCAAAGACTAGCCCCCCATACAAAGAGGGGATTCCATTGTATCACACAAGTGGTTGGATAAACTGCGAGTGATCCCACAACCCTGAAACGCTCCCTTCCGGACCCGAAAAACCGAAAACGCTCGGAGCCGATCTGAACCGCTCCAAGAGACATGCTTGCCTCCCGAGCGGCAACAAATATGTTTGTATTGGGTACCTTGGTATGTTGGGTGCTTCAGAAGTCCATCTATACAAAAACTAGAAAAACAAAACAAACAAGTTGATCAAACACAGGATGTCTTCTTGTTGAACCTCTTGTGCCCGGGCCATCCCTCGTATTAAGTCGAAGTGATGAGTGGACTGGCCAACAAAATCCAAACCTTTGGTTTGCCATTCAAAGCGTCTTCTCGCAAAAAGTGACTTAAGTCCAGGAACTCAGGGAGTGGGTTGATGGGAACCTCCCTCGCAAGTGGTTTTTGTGGACCCTTTTTCGGCCCCAGAGCTTCCACTATTTCCGGTCGGGTCCGACCAAGCTCTGAGTCCCCGGCCTTCCGCGGTGCCTTTTTTAGCGCGGGCGAGAGTTGAAAGAATTCTTCGAACCGCTTCCGCCGAGTTCTGAGGCAGCTACGACCCATGGAGTACGTACCGCCTGTTCACTCTACATACCCCTTCACTCTTGTACACCACGTTTCTGACCAAATGACCTCCGGAAGCGAAGGAAGTTGAGCCAAACCTGGGAAAGGGAGTCCGGGAAAGCCAAACTGGGATCGCTTTTGGAGGTACCAAAGGCAAGTTGGGCAGAGTCCAACTGATCGTTCATTGGCTGTTTGGGTTCTGATTGCAGCTGCCTTGCCAGCTCTGAGTACTCGGCTTTTTCAGGCAACCATCCGATGGTTCGAAGCATGAAAAGGTCGTGGACCAGAACATGGCCCTTAGACTGTCCCCGAAAAACGTCGCGATGCATGATCACAGGCTACAGGGGCTCCCTTTGCTATGGCTCCCGCTGCAAATGAACAGCGCCAAACAACAAAAACACAAAACTGTCAGGGAGTGTTCATGGCAACCCGCTCTGAGGTCGCGACAATTTGCACCGAGAACGTTATTTGTCTAAACACCGCAGAATGGTAGACAATTGTTCGCTGGTGAAAGGAAACAAGACCCTTAGTAAGACTCTCCCTTTCATTGGTGGTTTGAATTGGTGGTTTGGAGGTTAGGGGGTGGTTTCCAATTTGCCGTTTACAAGAAACAGGATTTCAAATCCAAATCCCAAACACCAATCCAAACCACCAAACGGCTACCCGACCAAGCTTTCCCTACCCAAGCCGGAGTTGGTTCTCACAGTTCGGCATCGCCTCTCCTTCTCTCTCTGGTGCTCAGGGAATGAGAAATGGAATGACCCCAAAGGGTCCTGAAAGGGATCGTTTATCGGGGGCATTCCATTTCTCATTCCCTGAGCACCAGCAAATTGTGGCTTTCGGAAACCACAGCAAACCAAGTTCTGTCCTCCTCCTTGAGACATGTCGACTCAACCCTTGGAGCATGACATGTGGCTGAACGGCCAGGGAGTGTTCTTGTCACGCCCCGAAGGTCGCCAACCCCCGAGCGAGCTCGTTGGCCCCATCCCCGTCATCTGACCAGATCCGGATTCCCCAAAAACTCGCGGCCGGGAACAAAAAAGGCGAAACCGCAAACCACCCAAAATAGCCCTAGAAGGTGACTTGAACCGTTTGCGAGCATAAAATGGGCCGCGGGGGGGTGTCCTTAGTTGGTGCGCTGGCGGTTTTGGAATTGAACCCCTGGGTTTGACCGTTTGACCCCTGGAACACCGGGCTCCAAACCACCAATGAGAGGGAAGCTCACCTTTTGCGCGCCTGACATTTTCTGAGATGGGTGTGGTTTCCTTTTTTGGGTAGCTGTTTTGGGTGGTTGAACCCTAGCCCTAGGGTTCAACCGATTCCCATGAAAATAATGGTTGACCCAAGTTGATCCTGAAAGGCAAAGAACGGTGGTTGTATGAACCCAATCATTGTTGTGGTTGTAACCTAGGAAACCTCTCAGACTCTCCTTTGGACCCCTTGTAATAAGGGGGGTTCGGGACCTCAATGACCAACACAGGTGATTGAACCCTGAGATCTTTCTTAATACGTGTACCACTTGTTGGTGCGATAGGTAGGGAATGACCATTCCTGGTTTTGGGAAAGAGCCGCTCAGGGGATTCCCTGAAAGGAAACCATAGGGCATGGCTTTTGTCGGGGGTCATTCCATGTCTCCTTCCCTGCAGCAAGATAATATGACCCCCCAAACCTTCTATATCAAAACTCTACATCTGGACCAGTGCAGCATCTGAAAAATCCTAAAAGCCACGAATCAACATAACTTGCTGGTGCTCAGTACTCAAAAGGGCGATCGGGTACTTAGTACGTGGTTAGTAAGCCTGGTTCTATCCCACTGAACGGAGACAACAATAACCATGGCTTTTGTGGGTTAGCTCACCTACCACCTACTAACCACTTACCTGACGTACCCATCGGCCCTTTGGGTGGGTGGGTGGGTTTGCGGGTGGGAGGGGTGGGAGGGGTGGGA